CGGCCGTCTCGCTCGGTGGAGTTTGCGTTTGCTGGAGTTCGATATTACGATTGTGTACAGGTCAGGGCGCAAACATGAAGATGCCGACGCGCTTTCTCGAGCGCCTGTGGGGCACGCTGTCAGGGGCTCCGAGGATGAAGATGCCTTTCTCGGAGCAGTCAGCGATTCCGAATTTATGTCAAAACAGCGGGCAGACGACGAATTACGCCCAGCTATTGATTCCCTGGAAGGCCGGAACTCTCAGGTTCCTCGACACATTGCTCGCGAACTGTCCTCTTTTTGTCTAAGAAGAGGCATTCTTTACAAGAAAAACGCCCGTGGTAGCGACAAAGCCTTCCTACTCGTTGTTCCTACCGAAATGCGGGACGAGATCCTCCTTGCGTGCCACGACGAGCCCACGTCAGGACATTTGGGCTATTCGCGAACTCTCGCCAGAGTACGCCAACAGTATTACTGGCCGCGACTATCAACAAGTGTACATCAATACGTGAAAGGCTGCCGTGAGTGCCAGCGTCGCAAGACTCCGCCTGTGAGGCCCGCAGGCCTGCTCCAGCCGATCGCACCACCACAGACACCGTTTGACCTCGTGGGAATGGACCTTCTTGGACCCTTCCCTTTGTCGTCCTCTGGGAACAAATGGATTATAGTTGCGACAGATTATCTCACTCGGTATGCTGAAACAAAAGCGTTACCCCGTGGCACATCCTCTGAAGTCGCGCAGTTCTTCGTGCACCAAATTGTCCTACGGCATGGTGCCCCGTCATGCGTGATTACGGACAGAGGGACGTCATTTACAGCACGAATGATGGAGGACATTTTTAAACTGAGCTGCACAACTCATCGAAAAACGACGGCTTATCACCCGCAATCGAATGGACTGACAGAGAGGCTTAACAAGACCATAGCGGGCATGCTGTCAATGTATGTTGACATACAACACAAAACCTGGGACGAAATTCTTCCACACATCACGTTTGCATACAATATGGCAACGCAAGAAACAACGCGATTTCCGCCTTTCCGACTCGTTTACGGACGCAACGTGCGAACCATGCTCGATGCTATGCTTCCGTGTGACCAAAGCAATGAAATCGCTCCAGACGCTGAGGAATACACTCAATACGCCGAAGAAGCTCGTCAGCTAGCTCGCATAAACACCAGTCGCCAACAAGATGAAGACGCACGACGTTACAACCTCCGCCATCGAAACGTCACCTACCACCCTGGGGACCGAGTGTGGGTATGGACCCCTGTCCGGCGACCAGGCTTATCCGAAAAACTCCTAAGCCGTTATTTTGGACCGTACAAGGTTCTTAGACGTGTCACCGATCTTACCTACGAGGTATTTCCGGACGGCGCAGCGTCTTCTCGTCGACAGCTTCGGCCCGAAACCGTGCATGTCGTTAGGCTGAAGCCCTACTTCACACAGTAGCCCTTGTGGTTCACGTGTTGCGACATGCCGTGACATTGTGCTGCTGCTGCTGCTGTTCGTGTTCTCCTGTGTTTTTTATGCCTTTTGTTTTTGCGCTTGGCGCAAGCATTGGCGAAATTTCCTCATTTGCGCTGCGAGTACTGGCACTCTCCCTCTTTTGGTTCTCTGTATCTGCGTGTGTATGCCTTCATTTTTTTTTTCGTTACGAGCATCGAGTCGATGCTTTCAAAGGTGGGACTAATGCCACCTGATATGCTTGGGTGAGATCCGGGAGTGGAAGAAGACAAAGACGATCTGTCTGAGCTGCTGCTTGGCTAGTCGACTCAACGAACCCAATAAACCAAGTTTGTCTTAAGAAACGTGACAATATAGTGTCTCGCGTCTCAAAATCGCATGATTATGCACCATTAAGTGTGTTGTATTCAAGCACAGTCGTGCTCTTGTTTTTCACAACCTTCCAAATACAGCTTCCGTGGGTAGGAATGGAATTCATTGTGGGGGTTAGCAGCGAGACACAGACCTTCTCATCCATTTCAAATTGTGGCTTAGCACGTGATTGTGCAGAAACGAAGGTAAACTTTTATTGTTTTACCAGGAACATTACCGATTCTGTTTTCACCACATTCATCTGCAGCCTGAAATGAGCAGAAATCGAACTCAAACAGCGGAACAGCGCACAAAGTGAGCGCATTATTATGTAGGCCCGCCGCGGCGGGCATCGAAGAGTTTGTGCCGTGACGTCACCCAGGCCTCCTACCAGTTGGCGCCACCCCATCTCGGGGCTAATGGCCTCATCGGTAGCTATCACAGTTTCGTCCACAGCTGATGCTGCCGGTAGCAGTGTCGTATTGGCTATATGCAGTGCACGTGCAGTTCAATAAATGTGATGGATGCTGTTGAAGATGATAACAAAGCTTACTTTGTCCTGCATGCTGTCATCAAGCTTGCCAGCTACTAAATTGAAATGAACAGACAATATTTTGACGACTTGTTCGCTGGCAAAAAATAGTTGCTACGTATTCATATGTGGCAGCGAAAGCATGTATGCTCTACAAGTACCGGTCTTGCATCAAGGCTACACTGCGAAGTTGGTTGCAAGGCCCTTGGTGTTGCAAGTGCTCATTAAGAGGCGATAATTATATACAGTTCTCTATTTTTGTGGAAATGAGCACAAGGTCTACAAATGAAAACATATTGATGTATAGTAAGCATCTTTGGTTTTTTTGATGGCCTCAATGAATTGAAATTTGGCTTAATAGTATGTTATAACACCTCGTGAAATGTGAATTAACAAGGCTTTTTTATTAACGCAAGAAATCCTAATGTTTCTGGCCTTGATGAGACAGCCGCATCTTGTGTTACATTCTGCCTTAATTTCATTGTCCTCTCATTTTTGCTTTAGTTTGTTTTCATTCTATATTCGTAACTTACTGCTCGTATTTTATGCACATTTTATTCTGTTAATTTTCTTAATATTTTATCGATTTTTCTCCACAGTGTTTTGGAGATTGAGGGTACGTAAAATAAATATTTTTAACTGTGAACTTGTTCTCGGTTCATCCTTCTATGTGAGTCGTAGCACTCAAAAGAGCTCAGTAGTGTGGTGAGGGCAAGTAGAGAGAGGCGCTGGTAGGGAGGGCAGTTAAAGTGCTAATGTGGTTGCTGCAAACAAAGGAGGACGAGGGAGGGAGGGGCATGAGCAATAGCCACATGTGCCGGCTCGTTCAGTTGTTTTAATGCCTTCATTATAGCCAGACATCGGGGTCCGAGTGTCTCCACATTTCTTTACACGTCAATCTAGTGCCGAAACCCACCCAATCGTCTGCTCCACGACTTCTGCCAATGGACCAACTATGGACAAAGCATGGTTTCTACCGAACTGCCCTTACCTTGTTTTTGCTTCCCTGGTTTGACCCAGGGTTTACGCACCGGAACAATGTTTAAAGAAACGCGAAGGAAACGCCTCGACGTCTGACTATAAGGAATTAGAACAACTGAATGAGCCGGCACATGTGGCTGTTGTTCGCATCCACGCCCCTTCATCCTCCTGAGTTAGCAACAGTAGCCTTGCGGTGTAGTGAAAGAGAGGCTCGGTAGGGAGGGGAAAAGGGCTGGAGCTCATAAAGACAGATGAAAGAGAGGCTCGCTCAGAGGGAAAGGAGATAAGCGTCCTTGTGTGCTCGCTCATGGGGTGGGGGGGGGGGGGAGGATGTACTGCTGTCATGCCTTGCCAGACTTCCTTGGTGAGGTGGGCAAGTCATGCATGGCACAGCAGCAGCATACTGCTTGTGTTCCAGCACAATCGCTTGACAGTAATGCGCCACTGGGGGGCAAGAAGCTGGAACGAGCCACAGCTTCCTTAAAATGCTATCATAGCGTTCCAGTGCAGCCATGAATGAGCATATTGTCACCCCCATAGCACAACATATTGTCGAATAAAGGGCAATGATGCAACACAGGAATACTTGAAAAGACTTGCAAAACATTGAAACATTTAGAAAAGCTTGCAAAAAAGTATAGCTAGGCAATAGCCTCACGAAGGGGCTATCAACTTCACTATTTTCATGACATTCGACGAGTGGAGCTGGCTACAACTTTTTTTCTGGCCTAGTAAGAAAGCCAAAAAAGAAGTAATTTCGTCACCACACTCCTGTGTGGTGCGTTTGCAGCGGTATCACTTGTGTTTCTGAGGAAGAAAGGAAGGAAGGAAGGCCCTATTATCCTTCGTAAAAGAAAGTGATTGCCCCTAGCATCCAGGCATTCACGTCAGCACAGTAGAAACTGATGAGTGATGTACTGGCCCTGAAAAGGGATTTAAGTACACTTGTCAGCTTCCATTACACCTTCAATACAATATCTTTACATCTTCTTTCGCATGTCTATCCAGTGCTTGTTTCTTGCTCGAAACAGTTGAGAGCACTGCACACCAGATGCATCAGTATGCTTAAAGTTCATGGACTCTCTTCACGCATGTAAGCGCGTAAAATATTTTCATAAGAGCACCCTCGAGCTTTATTCAGTGCCTTTTCCCAACACTTACAAAATCACTAGAAAAGGCTTAAAATATTGCGGAATTAACCGTATTGGCTAATTTGACTTGGGAAAAAAAAAGTTGCTATGTACAACAGACTTTCAGTAAATAAAATCTCTTTAGCAAAATTACTGCTCGATTGGAACAACTAACTCTAACTTACACGAATTTGCACCCCTGTTAATATATCAATAAGAGGCACTCTTGTGTGGAACATATTACCGTCGAGCCCCTTCAGGTTTCATTTGATGAGTCTGTTGTATTGTGAACGGAGATTACTGCAGACAGTGCATCAATGTTCCTGGTCACTCGAGGTGTACATTTACTCTTGGAAAAGCTTGGTTCGAGTTACGTGAAATGCTCAAGTGTACGTCAAACAATACAGGAAAACAATTTGAAAGTGACCATATTGAAACATGGACGAGTGTTTTACAAACATAAGCGCTTTCTCCCTCCATTTTCTCAATATGTTTGAGCATGTCACACTGTAGAACACAAAAAAGATTTACCTCTTAAATTTCTCACCTTTTTCCCTAGCCTCGTGCAAAGCAGCATTCGAAGACCCAGAAGGGCCATACGACTTTGTGATCAACTTAGCAGCGGAGACAAAAATCAACTTGCCGGAATGTGTAAGTAGTCAGTTTTAATTCAGTTCACATGGTTGATTAGACCCTTTTTGTAATAGTAAAGCTGGCTTTCCTGTCGAGGCAGTTTCCCAGTAGTAGCGTAAGCAGCACAGTCATGCTTAATTTACATGTAGTACATTATGGTGAAAGGAAGATAGACATGGCTCACTCGATGAAAGCCAGCACAAGAGACAAGTCCTCAGGTGTGCACCCTCAAGTTTGCCTTTGTTTCGACAATCAGTGGCACCACCATTTGTTACGAAAGTGCTCAATTCAGAGAAACGCACTCGAGTACAAAAACGACGTGGTAATCTCTTGGCGGACGACTGCAGCGAGTACTCTGTACTACTAAATTTGAGGAGTGTACCCCGCCATCTGCTAAACGCAAATGAAAGCAAGCCGGCTATAACGGGAGTCTCAATTGCTCGTTTTACTTTGCTGTACTCGAATTGAGAATGTACTGTATATTCTTCAGCGGTGGTGGCTACATTTGTGTGCACAACTTGTCCATGTTCGTAATGCCATCTACTTGCACACTCTATGATTTCATTCTTTTCATGTCAAAATGGAATATGACTGACTGCAGAAAAAGAAAATATTTGGTTACTACAAAGTACAATAATGATGGAAACTTCTACAACACAGTTCCTCATTTTCTTTCTTGGAATGTAATATTGATTACCTTGGGATTATGCAATGTCCATGCGACACATTGATAGACACTGCGTCATAATTCACACCTGAAGGGGATAATTCCCAAGAATGGCAAATTAGTTTGAATATAAGTGTCTCTGAAAAACAGCACGACCACCCAAAGGCCTGTTTCACCTTTCATGTTATTAAAGACAATCAATCACTGCTATCACAGACTTTCAAGACAGCTTGTTTAAGGTTGGTGGTAACTGGGGAAGAGTGTGGCAAATCTCAACGAAGATTAATACAAGGTGTATGTGCTTACGGTAGCTTTTAGCACGAAATAAGCACGAGAGACGGACAAGCACAGCTATTGTAAGAATGAACCAACTCGTCCAACAAGTCACTGTACCTGAGTGTGTGTGCTTTGCGCCTGGGTAAACGCTGAATAAGTTGGAACTACTATATAAAACAAAAATCGAAAGCCAGCATCTATGATGAAAAATGTAATCTCTAGCACATGCTTGAAAACTTCAAAGCAGATAACTCCGACAACGCAACAAAAAATGGAGGCAGTGTTTGCTAAACTTTAATGTCTGTAATGTGAAGTGGCGAAGCGTTCACACTTTTCGCTTCGATGATCGAATTCTTTGCCGAACAGAGCATGCACATGTTGTCTGCATAGCTTACGATTTCTGTGAAAGAAAATTTTGTGAAGCATCAGTTCTGTGTTTTGTTTATCTGATTTATGTCCAACACGCTTTGCCTGGCATTCTGGCAAGTTTCTTAAATCTGAAAAAATGGTGAATGTTTAGGAGCATCAACATATGAAAGGCCCTACGAAAAGATGACACTAATGTTGTGTTCACACAACAAACCAAATAGCATGACTGCCAGTTGGGCATGTTGGTAGGATTTCATGATGAAACAAGCACCAATAAGTACGAACACTCGGAAAGAACACAGGACGAGTGCTTACTAGCAACTGAGCTTAACACGTGTTTTTTTTTTTTTTTCAGTTGTATGCCATCGTTTATAGCAGTGGTGTTTCGTTATAGTATCATGTTGTTGAAGGCCCCGCCGGGGTGGTCTAGTGGCTAAGGTACTCCTGATCCGCAGGCTGAGGGATCGAATCCCGTTTGCGGTGGCTGCATTTTTTATGGAGGCGAAAATGCTGTAGGCCCGTGTGCTCATATTTCGGTGCACGTTGAAGAACCCCAGGTCATCGAAATTTTCAGAGCCCTCTACTATGGCGTCTCTCATAATCATTTGGTGGTTTTGGGACTTTAAACCCTGCATATCAATCAGTCATGTTGTTGATGATAATTGGGGTGGCTTGTGGTGACATACATGCGTGTCATGCATATATAAAAGTGTTCGTTCCGAAATGAAAATTTTCAGTCCGAAAAAAATGCGTGTCTGTTTCTGAGTGTTTGTACGTATTGGCGCTTGTTTCATCAGGAAACAAAATAGCACTCCGAGCTCCCGCATAGCATATCACATGACCATGTGCCACACATTCTAACGGCACACCTTCAGTCTGGGCGAAGCGATTCACGAAACCAAAAAGACTCAAGCCACAATTGAATTCTTGGTGAGAAATAGCAAACTCATGCCGTGTCATGTGGCTTCCACATAGTTTCGTGAAGTGAATGCTAGCTGCGGTGTGGTCTGAATCACATCACATGACATGGGATGGATTTGCCCGCGATCACGTTTGTTGTGTGACTGAATTCTCATGAATGCTGGTTACCTGTACAATCCCGAACTTTTGTGCATGTCACCCATGTGGTTCTTGTTAAGATTGTGTACTCAGTGTTAATTGTCTTGCAGGTATATGAAGAAGGAATTTTAAAACTAAGTAGGAACTGTGCTAAAGAGGCGCTTGCTCACCATCCCAAACGGTACATCGAAATTTCTTCCGGTCACATGTATGCCGAGGGAAAGGTAACTGCTCTTTTCATCTTTCATATGAATAGCTTTCTTTGTGTTGCACTTTCAGCACTAGAGGCAACATAACTTGCTGGAACGAAAGAGCAGTGTCTGCGCACTAGAAATCTTAGTGAAAAAAAACTAATCTTATGGCCAATTTCCCCAAGTGGGAACTAGCGTAGTGTTTGAATCACTTTCATGCAGCGAAAGAGAGGCGTAATAATATGCATGTATTGTTGCTTTCTTAGCAGAGGATATAACAGACATTAGTCATCGTTGGCACTTAGTATATTTGGCAAGCTTCACTAAACTATTTTTTTTCTTTTTTTTTTCAAAATTATTACGGTGTCACACGATCACTTTTGATCGTGATCAGGCCTTATCCGGACTGATTTTCGCTATCGTTAAATGCTGATTTATGCAAGCTACAAAAGTGAGCCAATCATTGAGAAACTTGGTGCCACTTGAGATTAATCATGATCAGCAGTGCAGCACCAGACAGTCGTATAATCAATACTATAGGGTGTATGCTCTCCTTATTAAATTTTTATATATGTCATTAATTCCTAATTTTCACTACTCTGTTTTCTTTTTCCTAATTTCTAAGAGTCTTGGAATTTTTTCTTGAATGTTTTAATAATGTTGACCCTTGAGCATATTGTGAAATCTGTTTTCTTTACCGTGGAATGTTTTGCATTAAAAGTGACTGTTGATTATTGGGGAACGAGACTCCCAAACTGAGCCCCTCCTGCACAATCATTTGATTCTTGCCTCCCTTCCTCTTTGCTTAAAGGACCAAGCATGTTGGTTTTGAAGGGCCCCTTACCAGGCCCCATAACCTATTTCAGTTAGAGCATGGCAGTTGTGTGTCAAATGAAGAGCTTTATGCCACAAAAATTTTTCAATTGGCGGATTATAAGCTGATAAAACTGGTATTTTGAAGCGGTGCGAAACCACGATGCAAGGAGGCAAGCTTAAAACGCTTGCCGCTCGCCCCGCATAGCCTTCACAACCCAAATCTCTTCCCTTCCCTCTCCTACACTCGAGCAAGAGGTCACGTGCGCATGACGTGCCCGAGCAAGCCCATCTGTCGAACACTTAAGCGGCATTGTGTTGTTTATAAATGTTATTTTGTGGTCTACTACCTGCTTCTGCAGATAGATGCCTCAGTGGTATGCCTCAGTGGTACTTGTTTAAAAAGAGTGGCTTAGGCGCTGTAGAATAGGTGAACATAATGAGTGCTTGAACGCGCAAGTCCATTAATTTCGTTCCCAGGACTAGTGTCTGCTCGATGCACTAACCGCGGAAACACGAACACATGCGAAACAGAAGCACATTAGCCCCACATCTCGGGGCAATTCATGGAAAGAATTCACAGCTTGTGACCACTTGAATAACAAACTGTGAACATTCACAGTTTGTGACCACCACCATGACCATTCACAGCGGCTTTGACTGGTCACAGTTTGTGATGGAAAGGGGCGTTCTCGGGACAGAGGTGTCTTGTAAACGAACGTTAGGCCCTGGAGATGCACTTTATTACACGCATTCTTGCCTGATCATCAAGTTATCACATTTGTTGCATGATGCTGCAGTTGTGATGCTGACAGCAGTTCTGTAAGGGCATAAAATAGGAGGATTTGTACCCCTCACTCTTTTGTGTTTTTCTTTTTTCTTGTCATGTTTAGAAACCAGCTCAAGAAAATTCCTCGTTGGACCCATGGACCATTACAGCTCAGCTAAAGCGAGCAGTGGAGGAAGATCTGAAAGAAATGAAAGATCTCGATTATGTAATATTGCGACCTGCCATTGTCTATGGTGTTGCTGACAAGCATGGCATCGGTGAGGCTGGTTCTCGCTTACAAATGTTTCTAGGAATTTTTTTTTTTTCGAGGTCGAACTCTTACTTGGCATCGACGGTGTTCTTGCCAGATTTTTTTTTTTTTTAATCTGTTGTCTTTTCCGGTCTTTCATCTTTAAACATTTAGTGCCGTTCTTTTTCTCATGTGTCTTTTGCTCACGGGGCAGCGTTGCTTGGTGTGTTTCTGGGTGTGTTTTTTTTTTTGCCTTTTCTGGTGGGAATGCATTTTGTCTGGGAGGGGAAGAATTTTTCTGCTGCATGCTTTTGTTGTCATGGTCCTTCTCAAGCACTGAGCATGTTTTTCCTCCTCATTTTCATTTTCCTTTTAGTTCCGCGCATTCTAGTAGGTGCTGTCTACAAGCACCTGAAGGAAACTATGAAGGTAAAGTTTTTTTCTGCATACTTTTTTTTTGAGGATGCTTTTATTTTGTGAGTGAATTTACACGCAATTAACCCACACTGCTTTTAGAAAGCTTGTTACATTGTTGCTTTGTTAATGCCATGCCCAATCAGCTTATAGCTATAGTTAAGCAAACCTAAAACATTTCGAAGAAATCTAGATGTACAATACTCTGCAAAATATTATCCAAGATAGTAGAGGGGTTGATAGACGGGCTAGTTGGTATATATTCATAATGAAATATTAGGAGTGCAAACTAACAAGACACAAGAGAGGAGACAAACGAGCACAGACTGAAACTTGGTTTATTGAACATACAATATATATGAGAAAGACAAGGGAAAGGGAAATACAACGGAGAAAGTTTCACCGTGATCAAGAACGAGAGCTTTGCAAGAAGTTCGCGTTATGGGCACCCTTGATTCGCTGATGTTACAGGAACTCAATTACTGTTTCATATACGTTCGTTTGCTATACTTCATTTGTCGATGCTGTTTTCATCATTGACTCTTGCTTTCAGCTTTACTTTGAGCTTTACATTCATGAAGCCTATGAACACCTGCATTGTACAAGATGTGCTCACAGTATCAAAAGCTCATTATAGTGGGACTTGCCCTCGAAATTCTGCAAGGTTTCGGAGAGGCGATTTGCAATTTCAGAAATTAGTGTGCATGTACTATGTTTGCTAGCAGAAATCGTTTACGGGGTGCTGATTCAGTAGCTGAACGCGAGTTTCTGTACAACTATAATCATTTGGCTTGTTATCTCTTTCGAAGCTTTTGATGCAATGTCATGCTGCTATTCATTGTTCTCTGTAACTCATTGTATGAAGGCACCAAAGCATTCTCATTGTTATAAAAAATGTCCTATTCGGTAACTTTGTTGCGATAGCTGTACATATTATGTACAAGACACTTATTTACACTATTTACAACTGCTTTAGAGAGACTAGGATCTATGTTCGTTCTTTGTCAAAAGGTCACACGTCTCTCGTTCCTGCCACTGAATCCCTGCACCGACCACTCTTTTTCTGTATTCTTGGCTGTGCCGTCAAGTCTAGCTAGGATCAGTCTTGTTCAGTATAAGGGCAGTCATCCTGCTTCCCGGATATAGACGCAGAGGTCCCTGTCACCTTCTTTTTAGTGGGCATTGGCTAGTGTCGGTCAGAGACCCCGCGACGGTTCGGGAAAAAGGTGAAGATCTCTTTAACATTCATATACTCATTGCAGAATGCTCTGGCTATTGAAGAACTCTTCATGTACAAGCCGAAAACTTATTTTAAAGCGACTGGAAACCTATTTTTCTCAACCTATTTTTTTTACAACCACGGAAAGCTCCCGCTTGGCAGTGGGTTGATTCCAAAAGTACTTGAATATTTTAGCCTGATAGGCCACTAAAGAAGAGTTACTCTCTACTACATAATGCTGAAAAGCGATAATGGTGCCGATAGGCCTACTTGCAAACTGTTCATTGCTGTCAGTGTTCGGCTTTGACAGTGTTGAGTGCAGCTGTGGTTAAAACTACCTTCATTTCGACAGTTTCTATCATTTTTTTTTAAATATAAAAGCAGGTAGAATAAGTTTTCCAAATGCTTGTCATCACATGAAGTCTGCCTTATAAGCCGGATGCTCCTGTTGATTCTCCAACTCGTTAACAAGCTCTGCTATAGTCTTTCAGCCAACCGCTACTATGCTGCCACTCACCCATGAGCATTGGATCGTACTTTAAGCAAAGGCGGTTTGATTGTTCTGCTCATTACAAACGAAGGCGTATCTTCACATTTGAAGTTAGAAAAGATTACAATAAAAAAAAATGTATACTGCATTTCATCACTAATATAGAGCCCATTAACTGCATACACCAGTAAAAGGTCATATGATCAGACCCTTCTACATCTTCGCATCCTGCCGCATGAGGCACTAAAAGTAAAATTTCGCGACATTAGTTATGAAATAGAATATCAAACTCGTCTAATAAGAAAAACAAGGATTGTTTTAGCCAATACGATAGTTTTTTCATTAGTGGGGTGATTATCTCAGTTCGTTTTCTGAGCAGCTGTCTGTTCCTTTATGGGGAGCTCCTGTATGTGTGTGCTTGACTGTATGTGGTGCTGGAGAAGTGGCTTCATGCTGGAATAGAAGCTTGCAGCACGAGTTTCCTGCTGCCATTCAGCACTGCATTCACTGAAATTTGATGTGGTGATTCTTCTCCAGCAGGCACTGTGCCTTTTCTCGTTCCTTTCATGTCACTACGCCTTGACTGGACAGTTTTAATGCATTTTGTAAAACGTTGCAGGTCTGATCCCACCTGTTTTTTGCAGTATTCCAATGGGAGTGAAATGCTAAAACACTGGTACAGCCATATTTAGGTGCACAATACGAGAACTCTGGGTCGTTGCTCATTCGGAGCCCCATTCTGCGGCATGCATCTTAGGCCTGTGGTTTTGATACTTGAAATATATTTTAATAGAAGAATATTTTTCTTTGGCATAGATTCAATTTTCCAGCATGGATCAATGAGAGACTAACTCAAAATCCCACCCTGACAAATTCGATTCCCGTTTTCCAAACAGCTCTTCACTTAGGTTTTACTTCTTTAGCCAGTGTTGATTGTCTCAGTCTATCATGCATCCGTCACTCGTTGTTTATTTCTTCTTCTATAGTTCTGTAATCCCTCCTGCCTTTGAAAAGCAAATGTTTCCTTTCTACGTGAGGCACATATCTTTGCTTTTCACTCTAAGCACATCATCTGTTTTTAAAAATTTTAATAGCAGCAGCTAGGCTGCGTCCCTGTCATATCTTTATACTAGCTTGTTTCGCCACTAGTAAGCCCGATGAGTCTTTTGTCTGTCTTGCAGCTGTTGTGGACGAAGGATCTCAAGATGGACACTGTGCATGTGTCAGATTTGTGCCGTGCCATCTGGCATGTGTGTCTTCACGGGAAGTCGGGAGACATCTACAACGTCGTCGACCAAGGGAACACAAGTGAGCGGTCCTCTCAATAAGGCATGCAGCTGTTGATCACGATGCTCTGGGTTTGACTCGCAATAAGGTCTACCGCATTCTGAAACATATGCTTATGCGCTTCACTCAGAATAGACATCATGCTTTCATGAGCAATAAACTACAATTCACAATAACATTGTGACATGACAAACTTGGACCATGACATTTCAACACAGTGCCCTGCTAAACTGTCTAACAAAAACTATCTGTATAAAAAACTACTACGGTTGAGCTCCTTTATAAAAGACATACATTAGGGAGGAATTCTTGTCCCTTATACGAGGTGTTTGTCACAAGCAGGGTGCCATGTTCCCATTTCCCGAGCAACCTGTATTTAAATGTAGGCGCACTGGTGTCTCTTATACCTAACATTCTTTTACACCACTGTCGCATATAAAGAAATTACTCTGTATAGTAATAGTAATAATAATTGCTGGGTTTAACATCCCAAAACCATGATATGATAGCGGGGGACACCATAGTGAAGAACTTCGAAAATTGCAACCACCTAGGGTTCTTTAACGTGCACCTGAATTTGAGTACGCGAGCATCAAGCATTTGAGTACGCGAGCATCAAGCAAGTACGCGAGCATCAAGCAAGTACGCGAGCATCAAGCCATCCTGGCCAGGGTTCAATCGCATGACCTTCTGGTCTGCCGTAGGAAGACCATAAGCACTAGGCCACCATGGCAAGTGAAGCTATTATAATGAATTGTTTAGGATGCTGCCTGGTTCGCCAGTATTCTTGGTAAGGCTTAAAAGTGTGGGACCTTACTTGGTACAAGAAGATTGAAAAGTAAAAAAAATATTGTCAGTACTCATTTAATGGGGAAGCAGCATTTTTAACTTTCATTTTTTTTTCCAGATTTAGTACTTTTTCTTACAATAAAGCATATCCATGAATGTGGGGATTGCAGAAATAATGTGCAGTATTGTCAGAAAAACCATTTTTATAATATATATTTGACAAAACATTAAGTCTAAAATCGAGCTCCGAAAAGGGCTGCTGCACTGTTTTAGTATGTACCTCTGTGAAAAGGGGAAGGGTGTAGCTTGATATAGCCAGAGCGCTCTATTTCTCCACATAAATATAAAAGCAAGAGAAGCGAGCTGGAAGCTTTTTATTTGAAAGTGAGAGAAAGTCGAGAGCGAAGGAGCTTACCTGTCTCTGCTGATTTAGCTGCCACAGAATGCGTGTCTTCAATTGTCCGTACGCCGCATGCATTCCTATTAGTATATGTGAGCTCTGTACGTAACCTACATTCCTGTTCCTACAGAAATCGCTTACAATTCTGGGATCTAGTTTGTTGCTGGTTACTGTAGTTAATTGCAGATGCGATTAACTACACTTGTAACATTACATTGACATACCTTTTTATTTCGAACTTGCGAAAATTTGGTACGCTTTCGGTTTGAGAAAGCATGGTACTTGAAAATTCAAGTGGTTAAGCTTAATTCATTTGTTTGTGCACTGACACTTAATGCCAAAGATGGCTTGATGCATGTTTCCTTTTCTTTTTAATAGCTCAAGGAAAAGTGACTGAAATCATCTCTGAAAGGTTTTCGATAAATCACAGCTACTGGGGCACGGCTGCCTCACTGCTGGCAAAGGTGAGTTTGTGCCTTTTCGTAATTCCAGTTTACTGTTGCGCACAAAGAAATTTGGGTGTCTACTGTACTTACTCGCATAATTTGCGCAGTTTTTTTCACGATTTTGGGAGCCCTGAGAAAAGGGGGTGCAGCAAATTGTGCGGGCGTTTCACGAGCGCATACAAATATTGTGTCATAGTCCTAACGTGCACAATATATATATTTAAACAAAGAAGAAATAAATTGGAGCACTAACAAAGTTTACTTGTTAATTTTTAAATAATTAGCACATACTTTAACATGTCAGATCCTGTCACGAGTGTTCTAGCGGGAATCAATGATAGCGAAGTCCAATTAGGTCGCTGCCACCCCCCCACCTCTCTAATTTCCGTCGTATGCATTCACACGCCAGATTTTCTTGAACCTCTTTCGACAATGGGAGAAACTAGGCTCATGACACAGCGATACTAGAAGAACTAAGCATCTCCACATAATTGAAAAGGCCTACTTCAATGGCAAGAAACTTGCATTAGCAAGCGTGGACTGCACTGCTTTCTTGCGTACCGGTCGCGTCGGTTGTCACAATGAAGTACGTCCCGTTGAAATGCGTTGCGGTAGCATGCTTCCCGTTTTCTTCGGCGAAATTTACAACAGCTGAGATTCAGTTTCACTGTATTTATAATTACTGTAGCACATCGCAAGGGAACCGTCAAAACACATGTGCCGGATGGCGAAACCTAAACTTCCGTAATCGGCCAAGCGTCCGTTGCAGCCGGATTCAGGGAACGAGGGGAACAGTTGGCGTGGATGTCCCTTGCACGCCTTCGATGCAGAAAGTCGTCTGTGCCGTCACACGAGCGTGCATTCTCGCCATTATCGCGGTGATAGTGATTGGGAGACAGGCGCAGGCAAACGCTCCAGCAGGTCCGGTTACCCGTCAGCAGGTTTGTGTTCGGGTGCAGTATTTAGGATCCCTACTTCGGGGGAAGTCCTCAGAAGAAGGGACTCCGCACTCGCAGCCTGTTTGACTGCGCTCATCTGCTCGGCGAGGCGCGCACCCGGCTAAAGCATCGAAAGGTCCGAAGGTGTGCGCGCCGGCGAGCTGGCTCAGGCGGGTCAGGGAGTTCGAAATATGCGAGCAAATTTTTTTTCTCGAAAAGCTGGCAAAATATCAGGGGTGCACAAATTATGCACGTAAATACGGTACTTTTAATACCCTTGTCACACGGACATTTTTAATGTGATTTCAACCAAAGACCTTTTACTTTAATTAAAGGAGTTAAAAGTGCCGTCATACAAACTCTCCTAAGGTGATTAGTTCATAGGAGTTATGAGTCAAGAAAGAGTGAATTTGTCTTTTCAAACTTCAAAGAAGTACTCTTGTTCTCAGAGGGTACAGAACACAAAAATTGTTGCATATTGTAGTCAATAAAGTCGGCTTTTTATTTATTACAAGCAATGTTCACAGCACTCAATAAACGTATGGAATATAAAAACATTGCTCAAAAGCAAAATCTTGACCATATACAGCAAAACCTTATTAATGCATTTAAAAAAAAAAAAACTTGGAAAATAAACGCACAATCCGAAAAAACATCCAACATGCAACTGAACCCAGATCAAATTGAGGCTGACGAGCGCATGTTGACCTGCAAGGGCAAAGTACATTTACATCTCAAAAAAGAAAAGAAACTTAGAGGGACTTCTTGACTTTCGAACTTTGGTATCTCAAGAGCAGCGAAAGGCCAGCCAGCTAGTTTCAGTCAACAAACAGGAAACAAAGTGTGGTCACATATGCCCAAGTCCGGAGAATGGAATCGTTCCGAGACAATCCAAGTATTGCAAAACCGAACGCTGGGACAACCAGCGTAAGTGTAAAGAAACGCTACCACCAGGGCAGAAAATGCACCGCTTGAGTGTTGGTTTTTTCAGTATCGAAATAAGGGACTAGGTTTGCTGAAGAGTGCAAGTCATGGTCTTGGTTGTATGCATTTGGGATACGATCATGTGCAAGTTCACGCGCAACTCGCCCCGTTACTAAAGCAAACTACTGCCCCACTAACGGCTTAACAAGCTCAACTCTCGTGCAGTGCTCGTAACGATAGTCATCGAACACGATATGCGAAACCTCGTTAAAGCAATAAACGTCTCTCACAGAGACATCTGCTCATGGCTATCACGCATTACGTCGCACATACGTGCTGATTAGTTTGCAATCTCTCTTAATTTAAGACATGTGGCGGTATGTTCACAGTCATTCGTAATTGTTCTAATATCTTGTGTTGTCTAACATGCTTTGAAAGCTAAAGTCAGGTACGTATAATAGCAATAAAAGGTGAAGTCCCCAAGCACCTGCATTGCGATTCGTCGAGTGCTCACAAAGATGGCAGCGAGTGCGCATAGTTTCTTTTTGGCATCTGATAGCCAGCAACCTTCCAGATGTCTTTTAGAACAAAGTTGTCCTAGCATATTCCTACAACCCGCTGGTACGCAGAATCATCCAGAAAGAAAAAAAAAAATGGATGTCAACAGAGAGCGGGATGGGCAGAGCAAACCGAAAATGAATGTGCTCTGGGAGAAAAGTGTGGGATGTCACGGGTCCCCTTAATTAGGGAGGCGATCGCCGGGCTAATTCCAAGGACCGAAATATCGGCCCCGCGAACTATACCACGAAGGTGTGGACAACTTAGAAGTGGTCCTATTTGGCGCGCCAGCGGATGCCGGCTGTGGCCCAAAGAACAAGTCAGAGCCAAGAGTTGATAAACAAAACAAAATTATATTCTCAATTATGGCAGATCAAATCGATACAAAAATATACACACTCGACAATAGTTGAATACGATATGTCACCAATCAAACAACGTACTACACAGTACAATCAGTCACACTCGAAACAACAGGCACAAACAACAACACGCACTACAATGCAGTCGCATGCATCGAACAACTAAGACACTTAAAGACTAAAGAGTTCGAGAACCTATTCAGTCCAAAGTCCTTGGAACAAAAGTCTGAATGATACTCTTCCGAGAATCACTCACTCAAAGTCCAGTGTTGTTGTCGTTCTGCTGTCCCCCAAAGTTTCTCTACCAGGAAACCTCGCGTCTTCAATTGGCCGCTCTCCAAGCACCAAACTTCTTCGCCGGTAACACGACGGCTTCCCACGCACAGCTATTGCCACGCGTCTTCGCTCGCTGGCAGTAGACACGCACTCCTGCCTGTAGCACGAGTCTTCACCCCTCAGGTGGAAATCCTCTTCTTCTTCTCCTCCTTTGTCACTGAGGACAAAAGGCTTCGCCCACACGGCGGAAAGGCCCTACGCACACTAGCGCTACATTCCTTCTTCACCTTTGTCACTGAGGACAAAAGGCTTCGCCGACGACACGGCAGAAACACCCTACGCACACTGGCGTGAAATTCCTTCTTCTCCTCATCTCCCATCTCTGCTGCTCAGGTAAATACCCTTCGTGCTAGATTCCAGAAAATTCTCATCGTTTCCGTCAGCGCGATGCGCCGCCGAGGCTGGGGAAAGAGCGAGATGTTTTGAAGGCCGTCTGCGACACATGACTGAAATTCTGCATCACCGCGCCCCTTTCCCTCTAGAACCTTCCAGGGCTGCTCGACCGCCGATGTGAGGAGGTTCGTCGGCGAACCTACGCTTCTGAGGGGAGAGAGACGGCGCGCCCGGGAAGTCTTTGGATGCTTGTTTTCTTCATCGTTGACCTCGAGGTGTATCTCTGGTGCTTGGTCGCGAAAATCTGGCGGCGCGCCCCTTTTTTGAGCGCTTGTTTGTGACAGTGGAGTTAATGACGTCACAGCGGCCATATTTATTCGGTATGTTGGCGGTGTTGACCTGGTTCTGTGGCACAGCGTGTTGTATGGTGGCAGCGGCAGGTGCGCTTTCATAAGTTGCGTACCGAACCGTGGTGGACTGGAGGAGTGACAGCCTCCATTATTTGTGCTACATTGTTAGCTCTGCAGTGTTTCCCCGGCTGTTGTTGCAGCAATGGGTTCTGACAAGCGTGTGTGGAATGAGTGTGCATTTTATTTACATTGTTACGGATGTAGGATTTGTAATGCTCAGCGAAATTGTGGTTTAGACATCCAGCATCGCCGCTGGCTGTCAAAATCTTTTAGAGCACCCCTTCAGGTTGGTGTGTGGTTGACGGAGAGCGACGATCGAGCGATTCAGAAAAGACACTGAGGGGATGATTGAGTCATTCGAAGACGCTGAGGGGACCATTAAGCTAAACTGTGTGAAGGGGAAGGAGGGAAATTGCTGTGCAGAGAAGTCACCGTCGCTGCACACCGGCTGCCTGTCTCATGGCACCTCACAAGAAGACGAAAGGTCCTTTTTTTTGCACACCTTCTGGCTGCAGACCTCATTTTCTAGCAGTGCTGAGCCTAAGAGTTGGGAAATGCTGACCCATAGGTCGCGGGAATCGAATCTCTGCTGAAGCGGCTGCATTTCCGATGGAGGCGAAAATGCTGTAGGCTCGTGTGCTCAGATTTGGGGGCAGGTTAAAGAACCCCAGGTGGTCGAAATTTCCGGAGCCCTGCACTAGCGGCGTCTCTCATAATCATATGGTGGTTATAGGAACATTTAACCCCACATATCAAATCATCAAATCTAAGGGTCTGGAAATCGTATGAAGCAGGAACGTACAACAAGGTTCCGCTGTATGAACCAGAAATTCAACATAGCTGGTCAGCTCTAGCTCTTTAGCAGCAACACATTAGTGTCATTTAAAACATTGCGTTTGACTGCTGCGCATCGAGGCAGTTTTGTCTCGTCTCTTTCGCAGCTTTTGTTTGATCTGCCTGCTTGCTGTAGTATTTAAAAGATGTCCACAATAAGCGCTGAGTGACTGCGATTCCACGCAACCAGCAGCCAAGCGAAAGCCACTGTCTAAATCAGGAAAAAAATGGAGTGATTTTTATCGTCTCTGTAATCTTTAGAAGCGTTGAGGCTGAAAATCGGCCGAGAATAGCTGCAAAATATTGTAGTGAAGGACGTTGCAAGATGCATTGCGTTGCATAGTAGACATTGTGGCCATCACTGCAACCATTATTTCCATATTCGGGGCACTGATGTCTCAGTGAAAGGCAATTTAGTTATTAGTACTATTGACTATGAACTGAAAAATTTAGTTATGAAAAAAAAGTGGGCATTTTAGAGCTTATATTTCTTTAGTCACTTTGAAACGACACAAGCACCATAGGTGCATAGTAGTTGTTGTTAAACATTTAAGCGGACCGTGTAGCACCGATTTGCCTTTGAGCTAATGTTGCTTTGAATTTTCTTTGCCACTCAACTTTAAAAGGGATACTGACACAAAATTTCACGGCCGAGATAGCCTGCGAGATCAATTCTCATGAACATGTGTATATCAACAGTGTACATAACTTGGGAGGTATTTTATGTGAATTTTGATGTTTGCATGCGTAATGAAGCACCTCATAATATTTACACCTTGAGTTATCCACGGTTATCCCCTTACTTCTCTTACGTCACCACACTGCTGTCAATGCAACAAGTTACGATGGCATCATAGCTGCCATTCTTTTTTTTGCTGCATTTGCTCCACCAGAGTACTACTCAGTGGCTGCTCGGGAGTCCGTGGCCACGACGCATGTGTTTGTTGACACTGCAGTCCTGTTTCTCATTCGAAAGAATTCTTGATTCAGACCAAGCGGAAACGTGTCACAGTTCTGTGTGCTGACGTGGTCGAGGGTTGCACACAGTGGGTGGTGATAGATGCGCTCGGCGGCTTATCTTTTTTTGGAGCTCCCTTAAATCGAAACTGAGACTGGTCGGTAAAAGGAGGAGGAGGAATAAACTTTATTATAAGAAACCAGCAGGTGTAGGTGGCCGGGCCTAGGCCTCCCATGAGGGGACATCAAGGGCTTGCCTCGACGACGCCTCCTGGGGGTGCTGGGTCGCCCAGGTTTGGTTGGTAAGAGCGGGGCTCCACAGAGCCTCATGAAGCTTCGAAAAAAGGGTCGTGGCGTTAGTGTGTCTATACTCTGCCGGGCATTCATACAGCATATGTGGAAGCGTAGCCGGGTGAGCGCCACAGCATCGGCAGTGGGATGTGTACACGTTCGGGAATATGAGGTGAGGGATACGTGTTTGTTTGAAGTAGACGCTAAGTGGTGGCCTGTGCCCGGTTGAGCTTGGGGTGAGGTGGGGGAAAGGCTTGGCGTCTGAGGTAAAAGTTCTTAACCAGATCATTGTAGGTAGTCAGGTTGTCCCTGGTGTCCATCTCGTCTCTAGTAGTTCCAGCGCAGTTGACAAGGCTTCGTGCAAGGGAGTGGGTGACCTCGTTGAGGTTGGGGAAGCATGGGTAGACTGGGCCTGTGTGGGCAAGGATCGACGTCAGAGTGATCATGTTTTCTTTACGACAGCCTATAATTAATTTAATTATCTGTAGTGCATTGTAGCAAACGGTGTACCACGTTATGATTAACCCCCAGCAACATATTCTAGTAAAAATATGCGAGGCCAAAAATTTTATGTCAGTACCCCTTAAAAGGACCTTTGGTATGCTGATGTGAGGGGGGTATTATGGCCAGTAGGTGTGAATTCGATCTAACCTCTCCATTTTACCTTGAACAGTCAAATATTATCAAGCCTCATCGTTTATCATAATGCAATGCAGGAATTAACACACTGTTCAAAGGCCCCAATATTGTGTGAATGTTTCACAGCGAGGTTGTATTTTGTTTTTCGGTCTAAATCATTCAGCGCAGCATATATGGCATACTAGATAAGTAGCTTTGTCTGGAAATGATTTTTAAAAAATTGTTCTTCTATTGCCACTTCACGAATTTCCACGGTACTGAGCTTTATCAATATTTTCTAACACACTGCACGAAACTTCATAGTTCAAAGTGCCAAACTGCAAGTGCTATGAATGATACATTAAAGCTCAGATTGTGCTGTTGACCATTGCATCAACGTAGAGAGCACGTGTTCCTGCTGTGGATGTAAAGCTTTGTGGCGGTGAATGGATACCCAGTCTGCCAATATCGTATGCTAACCGTTACTTCCATAAAGTATCTGTGGTGACGTACGTAGAAGGCTCAGCTAACAGAGTACCCCACACTAAATTCTCTCTCTCCTTCTATTTCGTTCTTGGTTACTTGAAAGCAGTTGACACAGTAAGTACAGAACTTCACAGTCAACTATCTGATCTTTTATGCAGGTAGCTCAAAAACAGGGTGTGTCCTTGAATTTCTTGAAAACCCTTGAATTCGAAAAATGCATTTTCGAGGCCCTTGAAAGTCCTGGAATTTTCTGCCTTCTTTGAAAAATCCTTGAATTTTCTCAGCTATGCACTTTCACGTTCCCATTGCGACCTCTTAATGGGGTAGATCGGTGTGCCAACCTGTCAAACTCCCCATTTCCAAAGCAGTAATACGGCGCAGATGCACATGGTCCCATTTTGCAAAAATGCATGTGAAAAAATAAAAGTGTTTCGTGGCAAGGGCGAATCAGTGAATGTGTTAGCAAGAAATTATAATATCACACGATGAAGGGCAGGCCATGGAGTTTCCTAATATACACTAGGGGTAACTCTGGTGCTAGTCTCTAAGGGAGCTGCAGCACATGGCGCTTCAGCGAGCATTTGAATGATGGGTAGTACACACATTTGTCTTATCTTTGTACTTCTGGCCTGCTTTTGGCTCCGTATGTGTTCGTGTGGCTTGAAGCTGTTTTATCACAAAACAAAAATCAGGAAATGTTCAGCGGTTGTGCCTCACCACCTTATTCTTTAAACTTACCTATCCAAATCGGGTCATGAAGTTCAAAAAGGTTAAATTTTTCTTTCAAAACAAAACCATAACACAGCAATAAACGAAGCCGCAAGAACGATTTACCGCCTGCAAGTACGAAGACTTGCAGCCATACAAGTCCATTATTTGCTCAGTTTAATGTTCTCCCATTTCATTACCATTATGAGTTTAACCTTGCCATGAAGCATAAAGAAAACATTAAACGAGGCCATGGTGCATTTATTCATCATTGTAAGTTAAACAAACCACACCAACTCAATTATGACATCAGAGAGTGTGAAGCTTGGGCTGTCCCCTTTTTGCGAACCAATCATGGAAGAGACCGGCTACCTTACCGTATATCATTACTGCTTAACGATCTTGAGGGAGAAAACATTAATTTAAATACTACTTCACGTCGAATGTGAAAGCAGTATTTTCTTAGTCGTGTGGCTTTATGTGAGTAATTTTATGCCACATATGCGCTTGCTTTTTCTTTCTTGTGTCTTAAGTATGGTATATCTTTTATTTTTGTGGTGTGTGTTAAAGCCTTCCTACATGCTCTTATGTACTTGAAAATCTGTGTGGTTTCACCATGATGCATATTTTCTACGACTGTGTTTGTAAACGTTGTGAACCGTTCTCTAAAAAAAAGTGTCTTCTGTTTAAGGAAAAAAGGAAACCCTTTGTTGTGCTGTCAATTTGAAACACACATTTCAGTGTTTTATTAGTTTGATTATATTTTTTTTCTCGAAAGATAATTTGTATATGGATGCATTTCAGTTTTTTCAGTATGTGTGTTGGTTCCTGGCAAATTCTGTAGGGACAGGGGCCTTCGTCAAGCCGCTATGATTGTGGTTTTTTTGCTCCTGTCCTAGCATTTGTTGTAAATGAATGCAGAAATAAAGAATCAGAATCAGACTACGCAAACGTGTGTACTACTTATCATTCCCATGGTCGCTAAACAATCGCGGCGCTAGAGTCCCCTCTAGTAAATTTTAGGAAACTCTATGGGGCAAGCAACTCTATACATGCAACGTGCTCCTCAAGCACAAAGGACGCACGAAAAGGACGCACTCAGGATGAGTGCTAATGAACAACTGTCACAGGTCGACACTTGAAGCATGCTTTGAACAGAGTGCTGCAAGTGTCAACTGTGCACAAGCCAATGCTCTTAATGGGGTGGTGCCATCAAATTTGAACTTGCTGAGCTCGCAGCTGACCAATAATCTCCTGAATACAGCTCTTCCCATATTAATTAGCATAAGCACAATACAATGTAACGAGCCTACAATAAAATGTTGTGCTCCGGTTATCACAGCACACTATGCCCGGAGGCTGCCACAACGCTATAGCAAGTGTCATGTGGATTTCCTCTGTATGCAAGGACACTCCACACGAACGTTCGGACTCTGAAATTTTTAGAATATATTTTAATTCACTTCCAATGTGTGCCTGAATGCTTATTCTCCAATGGATGCTCATCGCAAGCACGTCCAACACTGACATTGCCCTATACATGGCTTGCACGTGGTGTCACAGACGCAGCTTCTGAAAGAAACTGGGACTCCGCGACGGGGGCTTTGATGAGGAACAAGTTGCATCTAAAGGAAAACGATTTGGAAGAAACTTTCCAAGCTCGCAGCTGACCAATATCCCTCACATACAGCAACTGCCTGTATAAATTAGCAGAAACACAATACAATGTAATGAGCCAGAACAATAAATTTGCTCTGGTTATCACCTCACACTATTCCCGGAGGCTTCCACCTCGCCTGTGCTGGTCAGGAGAAGTATGGCTCACGGAACTGAAAATTGGAAGTTAACTGGTAACCCTTCACTAGGCCTGGCGAGCCGCCATAGCCAGTGAGGCCACCCACCATAACTGTAAACAGCCTAAATATGAATGAACGTTTCTTTTCTCTCTTTCTCTTAATATAATGTGCTAATGCAAGCATGAACTTTGATGTTATTGGTACCAGTTTCCTGAAATGTGTATTTTGACGATCTATGTTCTCTAACTCTGGTTATCTCTCTCGCTGTGACCACGTGCAGGCCGACATGCAACATGCAGTGGAACAGGTAAACGAGAAGCACCTGGCTCCCTGGGCAGAAGCGTGCGTCAAAGACAACATCAGCAACACGCCACTGTCTCCATACCTCTGTCAGGTGAGCCCATAGACCATTCACAGGCCAAAAGATCCTCGGCCTGTGGCCCTGCACATCATAGGCCAGCAAAGCGACGCAAGTGCCGCTACTGTGTCAAAAATTGCCAGGACTTAGTATCACTTTTATTTTTATTTTTTTTTATTTGCTGAATTATACAACACAAAATATCATCATACTTCTTGGACCCGTAGCCAATGGCTAGTCCTGGGTCCAAAAAGAAAATGATACAGTGATGGAGGCTTACTGTTACATAAAAAAGAAACTAACACTCAGAAACACAGGGTGTTGTACAGTACTACAAGCATTTTTTAGCATGCGATCTTCGTGCCAAACGACAATAAAATATATAATCGCAATAGTGTCAAAAGGTGCACCAACGCAAGCAAATCACTAAAGCGTACATAATAACATAAAAAAGACAACTCGGGGACATATTAAGTAGTCAACAATACCAGTATCTGTATTCCCAAATGCAATACAAATACAACATTCGTTGCTAGGCCACAACAAGATTCACAATCCAGAACAGCGGCACGCATTTTGAAAATTGCACACACCAAATAACCATCCAGCTCGTATGATGTTTTTGTGACTGCAACGCGACATGCCAGGAAACAAAAAATCGCAAAGTTAGCTCGCATCATTCAACCTTAGATAAAATTTTCATCGAAGTGTTAAAATTTTGGGCTTTCTTTATTTCAGGCGGCAAGCTGTTCCATATTTTTTCTCCTATAAACAGCAACTGACGCTCTCCATATGCGTTGTTTGTGGGGGCAGATTGAAGTTACCACATGCAGCTTTTCTAGTGGGCCGAGAAATAGTGTAGAACAAGGATGCATCGAAAGGGTTGTTGTGCCGTATGATATTATTTACGCAGCAGACTTTGCTTTACACAATGCATCAAAAGGTAAAATTTGCATGTCGTTAAACAGTGGTTCACTGGGATGATCATGCTTAGAGTATGTTATTGTTTTTAGAGATTGTTTCTGTAATATTTGAATAGGTTCTAGGTAAGTCATATAAGTCCATCCCCAAGATTCAATGCAGTATGTAATGTGAGAGTGGATGAACGCAAAGTATAATGTTCGTAAAATGTCTCTATCGAAGTAGTTACAGGCCTGCAATAAAGCATAACATCCGGACCCCAACCTAGTGCAAACTTCCGTTATGTGGTTTTGCCAGTTTAAGTGGTTATCGAAGTAAACACCAAGGTACTTGTAAGAAGTTGCATGAAGAAGAGAGTGGTTGTTGATAGCTATATTGATGGAGTTAACATTTATGGTCTTGTTACGAGAATGAGAAATTCTATATTTAGTTTTCTTGGTATTAATTGTTAATTTGTTGGCACAAAACCATTTAGAAATTCTTGATAACTCCGAGTTTGTTTTAGATTCAACTTCCTCGATATTATTACCTGTAATAATTATAGCTGTGTCATCATCGTACATCAGAACGTCGGAGCAATGTAAAGATAATGGCAGATCATCTATATACCTGGAGAAGAATAAGGGCCCAAGGACAGATCCTTGTGGAACACCAATTTCTATACGTTGAGGCAATGAATATATATTGTTAATGCGAACTATCTGGTACCGGTCACGAAAATAACTTGGGAATAGGTCGAACGATGTACCTCTAAAACCGTAGTGTTTCAATTTGCCTAAGAGTACGGAGTGATCTACGGTGTCGAATGCTTTTTTTAGGTCGAAGTACACGACAGCCACCAGTTTGTTATTGTTTAGGGCAGAGTTAATTGCTTGTGTTAGAGACAGCACCGCGGTTGATGTTGAGTGCTCGGAACGAAAACCATGCTGTTGTGGGCAAAGTATGTGGTATTTATCTAGGAATTTATGTATTCGGGCTGCAAGAAGTTTCTCATGTAGATTGTTAAGGACGCTTAGCACGGATATTGGCCGATAACTAGATGGGTCAGTGGGCTCTCCGTCTTTGTATATTGGTGCGACCCTAGCTTTTTTAGAGAACATGGGTACGTAGAGGCATGCAGAGAATGATTGAAGATATTACATAACATAGGGCACAGAATATCTATGTTTTTGTTTAGAAACTGCGCCGTGATTCGGTCTAGTCCGGCAGCCTTATTCGTAGACTTGTTTAATACAATAGCTTCAATATCCTTGGATTCAATACAGTATCATACATACAGAAAGTGTTGGGTAAAGAGTGTCCGTGAAAGTGGTACTCGGTCGAATTGTCAAATTTTGCTGCTAAGGCAGGGCCGACACTCGTGAAATATAGATTAAACCTGTCAACAATACTTGCGTCTATGCAGTCGGGAAGAACCTGCTGTTTTGGGTTGTTGCCAGTAACTTCTTTTACTATTTCCCATATTTTTTTAGTATTACCATTTGCGTGCTGTATAAGACGGCTATAATATTCTTTTTTTGCGTATTCTAATGTCCGACACTGATTTATTACGCATCATTTTGTCATTAGGCAGGTAATACCCACTGTGTTTATTCTTCTTCCATTTATGATACCAGTAGTCATTTTGTTTTAGGGTGGAGAGGATGTAATCAGTCATCCATGGGCACAGTGGTTCCTGGTAAGACCTAGTAGATATGGTTTTGCTACTGTTGACTATGATGCTTGTAAGATTGTCAATAAAATTACAGAATTCTACGTTAACATCGTCGTTGTATATTAAATTAGTGTCTAGTGACAAAAGCTTGTTCCGTGCTAAAGCATAGTCGATTCTAGTTGAAGGGGCTGTTTTCTGTGGCTTTGGTTGGATCAGTTCTCTTATAGTCACGAAGATAGGAAGGTGATCAGAAATGGGCACATCATACACGTCAGCCTTGGTATGTGAGGGTACATTTGTTAAATTATGGTCTATTTGGGTTCCAGATTTAGCCGTTTGTCGCGTAGGAGCGGTAATTAGGTTCAAGTAATTATAGGACTCTAGCAGATATGTGTATTCGTTATTAGTTGTAATACCTAAGGGTATTAATGTTGGTATCCCCAACTATAACTACTTGGTCATTGTGATTCGCTAAGTAAAGAAAGATAACTTCAAGCTTGTCTAAGAAGACTGCTATGGGTGAGTTGGGAGCCTGATAAAAAATGCCAACAACAAGAGAACAGTCAAGTCTAATAAATAAAAATTCCATTTCAGAGAAACTGAATGTGATTGGCGATAGCTGTGAGTATGTATGACGATTTTGAACAAAGAGGGCTACTCCCCCTCCCCTTGGTCTGGAAAGACATCAATTTGACACTGCAGCATATCTGGGGATCGTAATGTTCTCGCCTTTTTTTAACCAGGTTTCAGATGTAGCAATAACATCTAAATAAGTAGTGTGCTGCGACAGATAGGCGATAAGCAAGCTGACGTTTTTATTTAAGCTACAAATGTTGCTGTGAAAACGATATACTATCGTTTGGCTTGTGGTTGTCATGCGCAGTTGTTGAACCTCCATATGGCCAAGGTACTTTTTTTAGGGGTTGTTAAGTGCCGACGATCACACAATTTTGGACAGGTCATCTTCGCATGTAACGTGCACAACTTTTGGAGTTTACCGATTTCCGCATTAATACTTTGTCGTCTGCAAACCAGGCGAATCCAGTTCTTTTTCTTTTTGGGCCTGAATGCTCTTGCCGAGCAGGACCTTATTTTTGGGGCATAGGTGGGCATTCACTTAGACTGGCTCAGTTCCTTGAAACCCAAGGGATCCTACATTCAGCCTGTTTTTCTTGGCCGCAGTCAGAATGCTGTCTCGTACATGCCTCGCAACAAACTTTACTACCATGTTGGGCGGCCCGGATCCCTTGGTCGGCACCCTATGTGCGGCATCAACGTCTTGCCCGGAAAGTTTGACCTTGAGGAAAGTTGCCACTTTCAGAACTATATCGGTAACGTCCTCTCCCTCGGTCAATGGTACTTCCTTCAGTTCAATGTTGTTCCGTCTACTGTATTGCTTTAATGCTATGAGTTCTCGCTTGGTTTCCCTCAACTCTCTTTCTAGCCTTTGGCACTCTTTCTGGCGTCCCAGGCTACGGTTAGTAGCCTCAGTGACTTCCTGCGGGAGGGTCTTGATTTCAGCTTTGAAACCTTCAAAGCCCTCATTTATGAATCCCATAGACTCTTTAACAATGGCAAGCTCATCAGCTATTGTACTGTTTGAGGCAGCAACTTTTTTTATATCTACCCTCAGGCTTGCCACTGCGTCGAGAATCTTTGCTGTCATTTCCTTGAACATCTTAGCTAGCTCCTTAATGGAATCCGGTGCTTTTTCACTCAAAGCCTTGGAGAAGTTCGTCAACTCGTCCATTGCACCGACAAAGAAAAAGAAAAAAGAAAAGACACATGTACATATACGCACGAAACGTTCAGAGCAGACTGGCAGTAAGGGAAGGATTTAACATAGTGTAGAAAAGTAACCCACCTGCGGTACAGAAGCAGCGGGTTTAGCAGGCGATACGACAGCCAGTCCGCTCTGAAGTGGCAAGCGAAGATGCCGTTCGATTTTATAGGTGTTGGGAACGCCTCTGGATGCTCGGGCAATAATCGTCACGTGCTGCCGGGAGGATCCGCGGCAGTTCCAAACGCTGAGGGTGCGAGTGTCAGTGCGCCTGCGCCTCGTGTAGGATCCGCCGCTTTTAGCCACTGGAGACGAGTTGTTCCCGAAGCCGTGCATTCTTGAAATTCCTGCGGTACAGAAGCAGCGGGTTAAGCAGGCGATACGACTACCAGTCCGCTCTGAAGACGAGGGACGGACGGTCACACATGTTCCACTCCATAATCTGCCTCTGTTTTCTTTTTCTTTTAAGCCCTTGGGGCCCTGCAACACTTCTTTAAGAATGGTCATGAAACGCTGCCAATCTATTGTCGACGCTTCTGGGAACACACGAGCCAGACATTATAGCATAGCACATGACCTGGAATTTACAATGAATTCCTGGTTAGTTAGAATTCACTCCCTCTTCTCTCTACAAATGATGCCATATATTCAAATTACTGCACAATATACCCAGAGTCCACAGACGTTGACTTGTTGAAGCATTGTGCGCTTCATAGTTACCGTGGCCACCATAGAATGCCGTTATGGGCTTGCGATCGCACTAAAAGTAAGCCACACAATTGAATAAAAAAGAGAACAGGAAGTGCTCAAGGTCATGACGCGCACTACGAGACGCATTTTCTTGCCCACTTGTCATCCCTCTCCGCAGCTTTCAGCATGCACGCTGGTACAAAAGGAAAGTGCTTGAAGCGTGCGACAAGCCCGTGCAACTCCGCTCACACTTGACGGAGTCTAAAAATTTTTGCGAAAGCAGCAGCTGTGGACCTCTGCTACTTTTGAGTGCACACGCCTCGCAGTCGCTCACCTTCATGCAACACACCTGCTCACTCTTCCAATATCTTCCATGCAGTTTACGGTAGGCTTTTGGCCCATTCTGTGGTTTTGCGTATAGTTGCTTCATACCTCTCGAAAAACTGAAGTCTGTTCTAAAGAAATTTTGAATGGTGATAAGAAAAAGTGGCAAATCATTGTAGTATTTTCATGAACTGCCCAATGGCAATAAACTGGCACTTTGCTTTAAGCACAATGTTCAAAGAAAATTACAGAAGCAAGCAAAGTTGGTGGCGGTAGGGTCTGAGATATAAAAAGGGCACTGTGGTCTAAAACAAAAACCATGTTATTTCTTAGTGCATTCGCTTTTGTGTTAGCCTCATATAAAGGCAATGTGGCATAGACATATCATTCTAAATAGTGGCTGTATCTATTCCAGATATGATTTGATGGATAGATGAATGAATGGATGCACTTCATTTGGTCCTTCGGAACGCGCTTTAGCACGAGGGGGGCAGCTACCACGTCAGAACAGAAAGACCAAGTCTCACTGCTGCGTCCCGGGCCCGTTGGACTGCCCATAACTGTTGTTCGAGTTCGGAGCTGGTAAAAAGAGCCCCTCAATTGGACGGCGTAATGACTTCACCACAGCATAACGTGGGGCATCGCCACAGCATCTTGTAGAATAGTGTACACCCCGACTTGAAGAAGCCCGAGTGTTAGAGCTTGAGCGCTGCTTAGTTTTCTAGTGTGGTGGTGGATATTGTCGCGTGCCAGGTAAAAATGCTTTCTCAGTTCGTTGTAAGGGATGGGAGGGTTCCAGTTTTCCAAGACATCAGCGCCACACTTCCCGATAGCTTTGCGGTTTACTAGTCTTCACGCAACTTCTATGGGCCGACTCATTGAGACTGGGCGGGGCTCTTTCAGTGCATCCCATGTGAGTTGGAACCAAATGAGTGTGCCTGGCCCTCTCTTCTAGGCATTCCTCCTCACGGTGTCTCACAAAGCCGACACAGGCAGCGTCTGCTAGCGAGTTTCTTCATTGAAAAAACTAACTGCTTGCGCTACACAACTATGATGCTCCGCATCACCCTATGGTCCCCTTCGGGGAGATGGTGTAATTTTTCCCATGGTATAGACTTCTCTATAAATGGATTTCAGTGCTGTCATATTTTTGTTTTCTATCTTTAACAACTAAACAAACAGTGCTACACTGGACTGCATAAGCATGATAACGTTTGGGCTTAGTGGACTACCATGTTTCATGATCTTATTGATTTTCGTCACAATGTACAAAAATAAGAAAATGTCACAGCCCAAATGACGGCACCCATATGTCTTAGGTAAAATAGTCTATACAGAGCACAAAGTGACACTCGACCACATCTGCCTGCCAAGCCCCCACTTCAGAACAAAAACTTACAACAACCCCCTTCCCCCCCCCCCCCCCAAAAAAAAAAAAAAAAAAAAATTGTCTACACCCTTGGCGCCCGTACTCGCTGCACCTTCCTTCCAAGAAGGGGAACCGTGGGCCACATGTACGTTTGGCATACTTTTACTCATTACACAGAATAGAGAAATAAAAGTAACCGGTTACAGCTACCTCAATCAGAAGCCCCGCCACGGTGGTCTAGTGGTTAAGGTACTCGGCTGCTGACCTGCTGGTCGCGGGATCAAATCCCGACTGTGGCGGCTGCATTTCCGATGGAGGCGGAAATTGTTGTAGGTCCTTGTACTCAGATTTGGGGGCACGTTAAAGAACCCCAGGTGGTCGAAATTTCCGGAGCCCTCCACTACGGCGTCTCTCATAATCATATGGTGGTTTTGGGACGTTAAACCCCACAAATCAATCATCAATCAATTACCTCAATCAGAAGAGTAATCAATTACATTAACCTGCCCTTACACCCATTCCTACTGTTGGACTAGTTGGTCTAACATTGTTATTACCAGATTTATCACAAAGAGAAAATTTATACGGATACAAGATGAAATGCCTACCTGCTTCTTCAATCTACATAATATATACTTTTTTGCACTAAATCTAGTAGCAATTACATGCAGACGCAATTTTCATGCGTGTGCATTTAATACATGTATCTGGCGCTCAACTAACAGACTAACTAGTGAATCCACTGCTAGTCTAGAGGAGGAGAAGCACTCTCCTTTCTGCACCATTGCATCTGCTGTAGGTTGATGAATGAAGGCTGTATACGGCATATGTGATGATTCGCCACATTTAAAGCAAACTAAATGTGAAATTGGATGGAGGAAAAAAGACTGCTCGTGGAGGCCAAGCCAATGTACTTTGCGGTGGTTGTGGGTTCAGATCCTATGTTTTTTCTTTCATTTCTATCTTGAGTGAATTTGTAAAAAGGGCTTCTTTAGCTCTTCTACACCCTTGTGTATGTTTTTCGTTTCCAGGAGCTTCTATCAGACCGGAGCCTGTGCTTGGACGGGAGCAAGCTTGTTGGCACCGGTTTCACATACCTCGTTCCTGAGGTGACGAAGGAACGCATTGACGAAGTAAGAACCTTCTATGCTTATTTGGACTTCTGCAGTCTGCGACAACATTTCATTCTTAGACTTCTACAGAATTCTGCATTTCATGACGTCATTGCAAGCAGGGATGAGTAGCGGAATTTTTCTAACTGAACGTCAGTGCGTTCAAAACGTGGGCTTATTTAGTACCCCCTGATATACATGTGGCTAGATACTAAAGGTGGTGCAATGAAATTCTGTTCACTGCCGTCAATACGCACTGTGTGTGTTGGACTCGGTCCACTCAAACCTCATTATAACAAAGTTGCATCTTACATGAAAATAAGTTTGTTATATCCGAAAATTTGTTATAGAGGTATACTCTTAACGCTATATTTATTGCAAGGCTAGACTTAATTTACTTCATTAGAACCGGTATTTCGTTATATCTGGTTTAGTTATATTGAGGTTTGAGTGTAGTTGTTTGCAATTTTAAGAGTATGAAAGATACAAATGGCTTCAGCAACTGCTATGACTTTGAACTCACTTTCACATTGGCAGATTCTCACAATATTCCAGCTTGTTAAGAGCATTTATTGGATTTGAGTAACATTTCACTGCTTGTTCAATGAAAGTTCGCTGTGGCAGTGATGGGATAGCTGTGCCAATTCTGCCAAACTGCTCCAAAAGGCAGAACCTGCTACATTATTGCAAAAATCTCATAATTTAGGAGAGCATGCACGAAGGCATTGTTCTTGCTGTCTTTCAGAAAAACAAAGGAAAGAAAACACCGGGGATGGTTGCAAGTGGTATTAAATTAATCAGTAATTCCGAATGGTCACTGGAGCATACTGGCTAGTATACTGTGTAGTTTAAGTGTTGCTTAAGCGCAATCCTACCAAACAATTTGCACAGGCCCATACTGTGTAAATGAAGTTTTCTATTGTTGCACCATATAACAAGATTACTTTATTGAGTGCAGTAACATAGCTTCCAACTGTAGCAAGCGAAGCTAGAGGCCAAGCTATTTGATTGATTCCATTAACTGCAGTGAGCATTACATGGGTTTGTGCTTGGATAGACCAGTTCATTATAGTTTATATATTTCACAGAAACTGCACTACTTCTAGTTATATATGCTTCTATAAAAGCTCCTGCTGGGTGCTTATTTTTAATTAAAGTTCAGTCTGACCACAAAGTTGACTAACTTCATCAACAATTATGCATGCTGCAGTGAACTGGTATCTTGCTGTCAAAGCATGGTGTCCCAGCATTCTGGTATCTCAGTTCTGTTTCTCGACTATGGCAACAGTTTGCGTTTGTGAACTTGTCAAAGTTAAATACAGTTCCTCCAATCACTGCAAGTTTCATGAAGTACAAATTTGGTTTTGGGCAAAAGGACCAATTACTAATTTCTGTTATAGTGAAGATGAGTGCTACTTAGAAAGACAGAGGGTATCACTCGGTCTGTGAGGAAGACGACGTTTTGTTGGCTCGATGCCCAGGCTGTTTCTGCCATTACCACTTGACTTGTCATGGCCGCTCTAAAACGCCTCCTTTTAATTGGTGGAGGTGCAAAATAACGCATAATCTTGGAATTGCGAAACCGTACGTTGCCTCCAGTTGCTACTATGTCCACGGATGACGATCAGCAGGCGGCCGCCTCGGCTCCAACTACTACAGCTCCTGTCTATCTCAGCTCTTTTCGGCAACGCAATGCACTTACCTTCAGTGAAACCAATGACAAGGACGTGAAAGACTGGCTCGACGAATACGACCGGGTGAGCAGACGAAACAAGTGGGACGATGCGCACAAGCTTACCGTCGTCCAATTTTATTTGACCGACATCGCCAGTCTGTGGTACCGTAATCACGAGAGAGACCTTCCCACCTGGTCGGCCTTTTAAACAGCGTTTGCGGACTTGTTTGGCCTTCCAGCGCTTCGCAAACAACGGGCCGACAGCGCTTGCGTACTAAGGCTCAGCAGAATGGTGAAAATTACACCAGTTATATCAAAAATGTGGTTGACCTTTGCCGGTGTGTCGACTCGGCCATGACAGAAGCCGAGAAGATTAAACACATCTTAAAAGGCGTGACTGACAACGCATTTCATATGCTTGTCGCCAAGAGCCCGCAAATGGTAGTGGAAGTGATCCAACTTTGTCAGAACTATGATGAGCTCTGGAAACAGCGTTTCACCACTCGTCGTGCCAGCACGCCATGTGCAACAATCTCCACTTTAACGTCGGCTGGCATCGCTGTAGACCACTCAACGTAGCTTCTCGAGATCAAGCAATTTGTATGAGAAAAAGTCGCACGCCAGATGTCCCTCGTGCCTTATACCTTCGAAGGTGCCCCATCTACTTTAGCGCCATCAATACACCGAGTCGTCCAGGAGCAATTGTTTGAGGTGCTACCAACAGTTCATGCACCACCTGTGGCTGCTGCACTGACCTATGCCGAAGCACTGAATGGAACCCGACGTCCGCCTGTCGCAAATGCCCACGTTTCTTTGTCGCGAACGCCTACGTCCACGCGCCCCTTTGTCGTATCGCCTGAGCCTATGCACCAGGCTGCCCTTCTTTTTCCCGACCACCACCACTGTGCTTCCAGAACCCTTGGCGCACTCAAGAGAACCGCCCCATATGCTTCACTTGTGGAATTTCGGGTCACATGGCACGGTTTCGTCGACTGCGTGAGTTTTTCCTGCGTGACGATGTCCGGCCCAACACTTACGATTTCCCACCACGACCTGAGCCTGCTGTATCTGGCGAGCCTGCCACCATGGGCACATTTTCACCTTGCCAGAACTTCAACAGACACCAGTCGCCTTCACCTCAACGTTGTCTCCTTTCCCCTATGCTATGTCGACCTCGCCCTGTCCCTGAGGAAAACTAGGAGCCGCAGTTCCAGGGGCAAGAACTGCAAATCTTTCGAACTCCACAAGACCTTGCTTTTCACCGTCCAACGTCGTTGCAGTCTCCGTTGAAGGTATACCTGTTTTTGCATTGGTCGATACTGGCGCCGCAGTGTCTGTAATAACTGAGAAACTTTACCGTCGACTAAAAAAAGTCACAATGCCTCTTCACGACTTCATTTTGAGCACTGCGAGCGAGCGACAATTCGCCCTTTTGCTGCATACACAGCACGTGTCGTTATTGCTGACGTTATTTATGCCGTCGAGCTTGTAGTGCTCCCGCAGTGTTCCCATCATGCCGTTATCGGCTATGCTTGGGCCGAAGTGGAGTTCTCGCCGTTATGCGACGCTGCTTCACTCGACTGCCCCTTTCACCTGCAAAAGTTTTCGTTGCTGCCGACACTTCTATACCCCCGTTGTCACCTGCCTTAGTTCCGCTTTCCTGTGATGTCTCTAATGGCTCAATTGTTCTTTTTACACCTTCTGAAACCGCTTTCCACCGCAAGTGCACTTTATGTTTCAAATCCGTTTCGCTCGCCTTCCAAGTTACTGTGCGGAGAGTACCTGGGCTTTGCCGATGACATTGATCCCTCGAGTGCACGTGTAGTTCCTGACCACTAGACTACGCTACCTATTGACGCTGTTGATTGTTCCGCATCACCCTCTTCCCCATCATTCACCGACGCAATTTTGCGCTGCATCGACACCAACCTTACGGCCCAGCAGCACGCCGACATCATCGCCCTCGTCGAGCGCTTCCGCGCCAGCTTCGACCACCAGCAACTGACTTTAGGCTGTGCTTCCACAGTATCTCACCAAATCGACACTGGCCTTCACGCTCCTTTACGTCAGCGACCGTATCAGATATCGGCATCTGGGCGTCGTATAATCGCGGTACAAGTTGACAACATGTTGAAGCGCGGCGTTATTCTTTAACAGCCCGTGGGCCTCCCCAGTTGTTCTAGTCAAGAAAAAGGTTGGCTCAATAAGATTTTGCGTCGACTACCGCTGGTTGAATAAGATCACGCGCAAAGATGTTTACCCACTACCTCGCATAGACGATGCCCTTGACTACTTACAAGGTGCAGAGTTCTTCTCGTTGCTAGATCTGCGCTCAGGTTATTGGCAGGTTCCCATGGCTGAGAGTGATCGCCCTAGGACGGCTTTCGTTACCCCGATGGCTTATACAAATTTCCATTTGGGCTCTGCAATGCGCCTGCCACTTTCGAGCGCATGATTGACAACATCCTCCGTGGCCTGTGTTATTTAGACGATGTCGTGATATCTTCAAGCGACTTTTCAACACATCTTTAGCGCCTCGAGACTGTGCTCACTTGCCTCACCTCCGCCAGTCTACAACTCAACTTGAAGAAGTGCTGCTTTGGCGCTCGAAATTTTGGGCTATGTTGTATCTAGATATGGCATACTTCCGGATCCGACGAAACTCCATGCCGTTGCCAAATTTCCTAAGCTGAAGACCTTAAAAGAACTTTGAAGTTTCTTCGGCTTATTTTCATATTTTCGTCATTTTATTCGCAATTTTGCCTCCATCATATCGCCCTTGACTGACCTTCTTGCCGGCAACAGCGACCTTTCTAGTCGACGTCAGCTTGTGATGATGCATTCGCCACACTCCGCCACTTTCTTAAGTCACCTGCAATACTGCGACATTTTGATCCTTTTGCCTCGACAGAAATACACACAGATGCTAGCGGAGCTGGTCTCGGTGCTATGCTCGCCCAGCGTAAACCTGGATTTGATGAGTACGTCGTCTCTTACGCCAGCCGTGCACTCACAAAAGCAGAAGCCAACTACTCAGTCACCGAAAAAGAGTGTCTAGCCATCATATGGGCCATAGGCAAGTTTTGACCCTATCATTACGGGCGCCCATTCAGCGTGGTTACAGATCATCATGCATTATGTTGGCTCTCTTCGTTAAAAGATCCCACCGGCCGGCTCGCCCATTGGGCGCTTCGGCTACAAGAGTACGACATTCACGTCGTTTACCAATCTGGACGAAAACATTCGGACGTAGATGCTTTGTCCCGATCACTTCTACGATGTAGTGACAAGTCGCCGTCTTCGCCTGCCCCCGATGTATCTGCACTTAGTGTCAGTGACATGCTTCAAGAGCAACGAAAAGATCGTTGGATTGCTTCACTTATCCACTTGTTGAGTCGAACTCCCTCCCAAAACATCCCTAGAGGTACGCGCCGTCAAATACAGCACTTTGTTATCAGAGATGGTTTGCTATACAGATGGAATTATCTGTCCAAAGGACGCCAATGGCTCCTAGTTATTCCCAGACGTCTCCGCTCAGACATATGCGCCTCCTTTCATGTGAACCCACAATGTCCCCAAGCTGGAGTGTTAAAGACCTACACCCGTCTGTCTCACTGCTACTACTGGCGTGGAACGTATCGCTTCGTTCGTCGCTACATACGTTCCTGTCTCGCTTGCCAGCACCGTAAGAATCCCACTACACATTCTCCATTTTATTCACCGTCGATGAACCAAAATCTTAATGATTCTCTCCGTAAAACAGAACACAGCAGGCTCATCACCAGATAGTGAAGCACTAGATTGTTCTGAAAGTATGAAATTTATCACAACAGTTCTGGATAGTGAATAGAATGCATGGCAAATATACATACGTAGCTTGTGCTTGCATTATTGTAACTGAAGCATCAGGGAAAGTCACACCCATTCAAAAATATGAGGTAGATTCTGGAAAAATGCTAGGGAGCTTGTAATCGCGTATCTAAAGCAACTTAGGGCTGGCCACAGAAAAACGAGTGGCAACCTAATTTTCTGATTTTGGGTACGCTAAGCTAATATGCCAGTATTTGTGCATTGATAAATCTTGTTGAACACGTAGTACAGTTGTTTTAGCTTAGAGAAAATTTTTGTGTTTAAAAATGTTTGCTTCAACAGCTACAAGGCAAGGTTTTAGCTGCTTCTGAAGTTGTGTCAAAGTTGCTTCAGTCGATCACATCACTGGTATAGTTACTGGATGGCTTAAAAACAAGCATTTAAATTTTTTGGTGGACTTATTGCCAAGGTATTTTTACTAGGCAGCTGGGCTTACATAATGGCAGCAGTGGTTTCTGCATGTTCATCTATAATCAAATTTAATTTTTAAGTTAGAACTTGTGTCTGAAATATCAAATATCTGTATAGCCCGAATGTTCAAAAGCACGTACTTTGCCAATTCCTTATTCTGCTCAAGTTCTCTCAGAACTATCGACATCACAGAGAGGCTGTGGAACTTCTCAGAAGTGTCAAGTTTTGCCATGTTGCTTCTTTTTTGTGCAGATAGTCGAGGACTACGTTGAGATGAACTTGTTTCCAAGGTCACTGCTTCTGTGATGCAAAGGTGATGAGCAAAGCGAAGTGGGCAGAAGTGCTAGTCAACTTCTGGTCATCTACAGATAACTATAAGCGTGCCTTGCAAGTATTTCTACACGTCAGTGACAGCGTCCATCGCCCCGAGTGGAACATGCAAGCCAGTTTTCTTGCCTGTGTTTTGTTAGACCATTTACAGCTTGTAAGACGGAGGAGTCTCACACTCTCTCTGTGCAGTATGTGTAGTATTCCACATTCCATGAGCGAGTTATTGCTTGCATTGTTGAAGCCTGCAAAAATGCCTTTGATGCTCTCTGAAGCTTTTGCTTGCAGCCTAGCCAACTGTATTGTTTTGTGATACGATGGTTCAATAAACGTTTTTAAGCTGTTGTGCCAAATGTTTTGCAGTGGTTCGTATTTTTCGCTCAACCAACTGTTTTAACGTGTCAACATTTTCAGAGGTACAGCGGAAAAAGGTATCAGAGAGTGAGTTGGTGCAAATTCAATCGATTGCTCGTGCTCGTAAATGGCCTGTCTATTTACTCGCGCATCACACCGGCTCTGTGAACTGGTGCTGGCTGTGAAGGTAATTCAAGGCAATTAAAGGTAATTAAATGCAACACTAAGTAATTTTTCTCACATTTGTTTATTTGTAGGTACTGCAATCCCACAAGGTGGTAATTAGAATCACAAGTATTGCAGAGTACACATGAATCTAAACAAGAACAAAAATACAGGAGCAGTTTTTAGAATTACAGAAGCGGAAAAACTTATATACAATATTAATGAATAAATGATAAACCATGGCGACCAAAACGTTACATGTACAGGGTAGTATAGGTGGTGAAACCGCTGTGCCATTGTGCGCCAAACTTGCTAACCTGTTCCGAACCACCCTTCCTGCGCCAAACTCTCCTATCAGGGCCGTACTGTTCCGCAGTACCTGAATTTAGCCGCAAAGTGTGTAATCCATCAAGCGTCGTGCCCGGAAACGTGGCTGAAACAGTGTCTTCTTGGTTTCATCGAAACAGTTAGTTTTGGTTTTGTAAAGATAGTGATCGCTCCAGGTCAAGCCATGAACCTTGATTCTAAGGGCGTGGTTGTAATCGATATGCATGCGTGATCACGGCAGACATAAGCGCGGCTAGCTCGTGGACCCGTCTATGCGAAGAGACTCGAGAAGAGCATCTCACCCTGGCATAGCTGTATCCTGTTACACCAGCATTTTGTAGTTTCGCGATATTGTATCTACACAAGTTGGCTGCCAGTCATACAGTTTGTTGCTATCTCATTCATTTCTTTATTCTGGTGAAACTGTCTATTACACTACGGCAGCGTTCAGAAAAGAAAAACGATGGCAGTAGCGGTGCTTGAAAAAAAAAGGGGAAGGGTGTCAGTTTCTCGAAACAGCCTAAGACAAGTGCACATAAGTGCTCATAGAGCATATGTGCATATTCTCGTTCATTTGGCTGTTGTACATAGTGCCTCGGATGCTGACACTCGCACATTCAGGTAAACTAAAAAGGAAGAAGCTTGAGTGACTGTACATAACTGAAGAAGTCACAGTTGCACTTCAGTGGTAAAGCAATGAGTGCGATAGCAGCAAATTTGTTATGGTATACGAAGTGAGGGTGGCAGCTAACTCCTTTCGATCCGATCTCCTGCAACTCTACAAAATGCTGGTGTGTGACAATACGGCCTCTTAAAAGAGGACAAAATGTTTTGCACAGTCTCATCGCGATGAGAGTGCAGCATGCAGAAATGTATGCGAGTAGACCACTGATGGATGCGGAGCTAGCGTGCGCGACCACGTTCTTAGAAGTGCGTATTTAGTTGTGCCCCCTCTCTCGTTTTTTATTGCGATAGCAAATATGTGGACACTCTCGGCTGGTTTTTGCTGTCAGTGTCGCTGCTGTCATTTTCCATATATGTATTATATATATATATATATATATATTGCCACATTGAATATGCAGCACCAAGAGAACAACGAAGAGCATCCGCAGCGAGAGAGAAAAACGAGGCTCACATCCGATCAGTTTGCCAGTGTTCTGGTACAATTAAAGCGAGTTGTCCGGTATTCAACTGCTGCTGTTTCTGCATTGTGACACTGGTGGAGGCGCTGGGTACATGTTCGGAACGCCTGACAACAGCCCCGCATCTAGTCCAGAAAGACTTCCACGCATCGACACCCCCGTTCACCGCAGCAGCCGCCGGCTTTTAGGCCTCAGCCCGGAGTTCGGTCTATTGCCGGAAAGCGTGACCGTTCCAGAAAGCATGACGGCGCCTGGAAGCACTGGCCCCAACATGTCCAGCCCAAGCACGACACAGGTGACTGTTTTGAACACTTGACTTCCGTTTGACTTCTCATGCTGGCAACAAGTGGTTGATAGTCGCTACTGATTATCTTACACACTATGCGGAAACAAAGGCTTTGTCAAGTGGCACAGCCATTGAAACTGCACTATTTTTCATAGAAAATATCATCCTGAGGCACGGTGCTTCCGACAATCATAATAACAGATCAAGGTACCACTTTCACGGCCGCGCTCCTGAAGACAGTGCTTGATCTAAGTGGAACAGCCCATCGGAAAACCACTTCCTATCATCCACAAACCAACGGCTTAACAGAACGCCTCAACAAGACTATTGCCGACATGTTGAGTATGTATGTTGACGTGGATCACAAGAACTGGGACGACATACCGTACATCATGTTCGCCTATAATACAGCGAAAGCAAGAAAGTACACGAAGAACGCCGTTCAGTCTCCTTTATGGCCGTGAAGTGACGACGATGCTTGACGCCATGTTACTACACGACTGCAATGACATTGATTTAGACGTTGCATCTTTTACCGAACGATCAGAAGAAGCGAGGCAGCTTGCACTGCGTCCGAATCAACCAGCAGCAATATTACGACGGCCAGCGTTATAATCTGCGACACAGACATGTCGTCTATTGGCCCGGTGAAAAAGTCTGGGTATGGAGTCCTATCCACTGCCAGGGACTGTCTGAAAAATTGCTGAAGAGGTATTTTGGCCCCTACACAGTTTTACAATGCCTGAGTGTACGTTAATTACGTGGTCGTTCCTGACAGCCCCTCGACAACTCGCCAGCAAAAACCAGAAATCGTGCACGTTGTGCGAATGAAGCCCTATTTTTCTGACTGATTTGTACCATACATCTACTGCACCGTCTTTTGTAGAAGAGCATCGGGACGCTGCTCTCTGGAGGGGGGCAAATGCCGCATTTAATATCCAACACCAAAAGAACAACGAAGAGCACTCGCAGCGAGAGAGAAAGGCAAGGTTCTTATCCGATCAGTTTGCGAGTGTTCTGATACAATTAAAACGAGTTGTCCGGTATTCAGCTGCTGCTGTTTCCGCATTGTGGCAATAAGTAGAAAAACTACAAAGAAAAATAATTCAGACAAATTCCTTCCGACGGGCGGAAGGCAACCTCTCGTGCCTGAGCACGCGGTGTTAGCCACGAAAGCATACATCCTTCAATGCTCACACCACTTACCGCTGGCGGTGCCCTATCTCGGAGGGAAATAGTGTGTTTTCAGTCGCCAAAGAGATGGTGGAAAGGGCCCCCTCGGCGTCCCGATCGTTGTGACGGGTGCTCATTTCCCATGCGTACTTAGAATCCTGGGAGAAAGCAGGGCGGGGGAGGGGGCATACGCTTGTGCGTGTGCGTGCTGATCTCACTGTGGAGGAGAATCGTATGCCTTGGGCTTTCACCAGGACAATTGCGTTCTAGTTTCCAAGTGTACAAAGGTCACTTGATTTACTGCACAGTGCCCGTTTGCAAAAAAATACCACTTTTCAGACACAAAAAAGTAATAACTGTGACACTTGTTATTTTGCACTTATCTGCACCTGTGAGTACATTTTATGCGTCATTTGTGTGTTAGCAGTGCACTGCTCATTTTGATCTGCTTGCCATTCTTCGCATGGCATTCCATTTTTGCTATCACATTCATTGTGCGCCCCCCTTTCGGTGAAACCAGCTTATTGCTATCACATTCATTGCATTGCCACTGCGGTGAGACTGTGACTCTTTTCGTGCTTTTTCTAGATGGGCGGAGTACCTTTTTTCTACTTTGACTACAGGCCTCCTGGGCAGGGTTATCAAATGTTATCGCACGTGCCGTCCAAGCGGCGGAGATGGGCCGGGTCGTTTCATGTCTGCTTCAACCACATTGGTCGCCCCCGCTCGTGCGGTTCGACACGCGGATATAACATACGATGCGTGAGGGTATTTTATAAATTTGGAAGTCATACAGGGCATGGCGGCAACAGCAGGAACCCGTCGGGCGTGTCCATATAATCTCTTATCGCAATAATGAGACTATCGCAGTACAATTTGGTTCAGTGTTTGAAAAATGCAGCCTTGAACAAATGTAGCTTAACTAGTGCTTTCAATGGTGCTAAGTCTGCTCCGAATGGTCTCACTGCTTTAAACTTGCTCGAAGAGGCCCTGATGGCTGCTCCAAGCCTGCTACAAAAAGCACTTTTGTCTGCTCCCTGGACTGCTCCCAAACTTTGTACCCTGTTTCAGCGCTGTAAATATACCAGAATCCGGCTGACACGCACAGCTTTTAGAAAACATGGCTGTTAATTCTACACAATTTCAAAACAAAAACAAAGAATTGACCCCTAGATTGCGGCTCAATTCTTTCAGATACCATAGTGCCATCGAACCTAATACGATTTTTTTGTTGGCAGTATTGATGGGAATCCTTTAGGGGGAAAAAAGCAAAACATTTAGGAAGCATCAAGAATGTTTACCCGTACAGGGCCACCCAAACAAGAAAATATATATTCAAGCCTACAATGTCACACTGGCATACTGTCATAGAGTTCGAAAGTTGTAACTTTGACCTTACGTTCATGATTGATAGTATTTTACTGTGACAGCTGTAATAATAGTTTTCAAAGAATGCGTTCATAGTCTGTTGTGATGAAGAAGTCTGTGAACAGGGGTTGTGTGCTCGAGCGGACGTTTCGACTGGTGGACTTGTCTTTCTCAAGGCTACCACTTGAAGGCCTCAAGCTTTGAAGCTTGAAACTTTGTCAAAATGTCAGCTCAAGCACACAACTCCTGTTTACAGATTTTTTCATTGCAAGCTTCCATCTTGCCCATCCTGCGGTTTTTTGAAGTCATAGTCTGTGAATTGCTTCAAGACATTGCAACTTTTCAACATTTTATTTGGTGTTCTTTCTTCATAGGTGCTAACCTGTGCCAAATATGAATTTAAGCACTTGCTTTCTTTAATGAATGCAAGTTACCTGCTTTTATGGTCAGCACATCAACATCCTTGCAATTAGGCCTGTTACAAGTTATTTTTGTAATGATTTTGTAGTCACAAGTGAAAGCTATGCAACTCTAATTTTAGTTTGGAAAACAGAGGAGACTGGAAATTATATGACCTCAAAGTTGTTTTGGCTGCTGAACATTTTGTTTGTCCTGGTGTATAATATTTTTCTATTAGATGAAAGAATACGAGAAGGTTGTAAATCAAATATACTGGTGTTAAATGTAAAAGAACTGGGTACAACTGATTGATTGATTGATTGATTTGTGGGGTTTAACGTCCCAAAACCATCATATGATTATGAGCGACGCCGTAGTGGAGGGCTCCGGAAATTTTGACCACCTGGGGTTCTTTAACGTGCACCCAAATCTGCGTACACGGGCCTACAACATTTCCGCCTCCATCGGAAATGCAGCCGCCACAGCCGGGATTCGAACCCGCGACCTGCGGGTCAGCAGCCGAGTACCTTAGCCACTAGACCACCGTGGCGGGGCGGGGGTACAACTCTATTTGTGTTTCATCGGCAAATGTTATACCTGTTGATCATGATGCCATAAATTAAGGAAAAGGAACACTTGAATGTAGCAAACTGGGCTAGTGAAACACACTCATGATGGTCAGTTTAAAATAAGACAGGACGAGAAAAGAGTACTCTCCTAACTCCAAGGAAAATCTGCTTTTAAAACCCTACACCTTCTTTGAGCATCTGCCACGACAATGTGAAATTTATAAGCTATGTACAAGGGGGCGAGCGGGGGGGGGGTGCGAAGAAGGCTGAAGCCCCCATCTGCCCCCCCCCCCCCCCCTAATGTAGTCAAAACAGATCGCCTGATTTTTCTGCCTCCCTGGAGGAAATCGTTTGTTGTGGGTGCCCCTCCATAAAAAAATATCCTGGCACCATATTCCGACTTGGTACAAGAAATTTTCAGATTTCTGTTGTTACACTGTTACAGTCTTACAAGCTTGCAAATTTCCATGGAATTTCGCTTCTAATGAATAGTCTACACAGGCTTCATGGTTGCTGCAAGGCTGCACCTTGGAGAAGGATATCCAGATTTCTCATACCAGTGCTGGCATAAAGCTCACAATGAGGTATATCTACAGAAGAGGCTAAGAGCAGCATGCATGGAGGTATTAACATCAACGCAACAAGCAGTGTTTTTACTACTTTTCGCATGGCTCTTTAGTGCTTTCAATCTTTCACGAATACCTGGTCCCTGGTCTACATGCCTATTGCGTAGGTGCACACATCAATTTGCCTGCAAAAGTGCAGTGTCGCATTTTCTACAGATTTTGGTCCTTCTTGTCTATCCCAAAGACGTGTATCAATTCATCTTCGGTGAACTGTATGATCCTTGTGGATTCCAAGTGGATCTGGAAAGAATGAAGGCATTGTAAGTGAGCTGTAGGCTTGGATTATGCTGATGACTGCTGGAAACATGGCATTTTCCTGCAATGGCTGTGGGCGACACCTTGCACACAAATTACGATGTATTTTAGGAAAATTGGCTCATACCCAAAGAGGAATTCGCCACACGCTAGTTTTGAAAGTACAAACAGAGCATAAAATGAAACAATACTTACTATACATGTTATGTGACATCAGAAAAGGGAGGATGAATACTGATTATATTTACCTTCTGCTTCTTTAGTATGTCAATCAACTTCATTTGTTTCTTGATGAGTGCAAGCAGATCAGCCTTTTGCTTTTCAAGCTGCTGGTTCTTCTCCAAAAGCTCGGCCATGGCTTTTTCCTGTATATCATTCACCCCGTCAGTTTAATCATAAATCGACCCAGCACGCATGCAATTTCAGGTGCGCATTATCGATCTAATTTAAGCTTACGGCGCACATGAAGTTTCCAATCGCACTCATTCGCAGGCCTTACCAAATCGCCCAATCGCGATTGGCTTCTTGGCACAAAACTTTGAGTAAGACCTGACTCAATTGCGATCCGCATCAAAGTGCTCGTTCGCGGTTGGCTCTTCGGCGAAATGGCGCGAGCGGGAGCCAATCACGTTCAAGGAATTCGATCGGACTCGATAGTGATCGGAACTGCCCCCGATTGACGGAGGCACCTCAAGCGCACATGCTCTCCGAACTCGGATCACATCAGCCGTGGCGGAATGGCTGACAAAGAATTTGCAATGGATATGTACCTCGCCACCGTATTTCGACGACGAATAGTCCTTCGAAGACTTCTCAATATCTGGAAGCTTGTCACCGGTGTCTCCCATCCTGTCAGCCCCGAAAGACAACAGGCGATTGGGTCGAAAAAGAAACACAGAAGAGCATTCTATCCAACGGGAGGTATCCGTGAGAGGCAAAAACTAGCGTGCCGAAGATTGCACCGGCCAGCTCTGCAGTAAGAACAGCTGCCAGGCGGCTGTGAAATAAGACGACTGGTGCAACACCAAGCGAAACAAAATGCCCGGGGATCTTTATTTAGCCAACGTAGTAAAAAAACCAAAATAAAATGTGCTGCCTGCATGCGTGGATCTGTGCAGTTCTTTAACGGCGTGCGAGGTGAATGCGGCTACAGCCATCAGCTGATCGGCTCACCAATAACCATCAGCTAAGCCATGCTAATGCGGGACGAACGCTATGTCTAGGCGCTTGTTCATTCCATCGCAAAAAATTTCCTGGGCGGTATTCAGTTGATACTGACATTCCAGTGAGCGAACGATACGGGTACGCTTATACACCGCCGATTTTGGCCACCCACAAGCTCGGGGAAAAAGAAAAACGTGAATGCTGCGGACGCGGTGCAGCTGCGCCCTCTAGAATCTATGCAATAGTATAATAAAGCTATTTTGTATCTGAGAGAGCGCGCTTGCAAATGAAGTATTTACTTTAAAGGTAACCGAGGCCCTTTATGTGACACAATGCTTAAAATCCGCAGTGCGCATCACTACGTTATTAAACATATGGACACAAAACCAGTGCATGATTTTATTGAAGGCGCAGAACCAAGGTGAACAGAGAAGCTTTTAATTATTGTATTTTGCAACAGGGGAGCGTGCTTTGCTGCGCAGCCGCAGTTCCATCGATTGTTTAATGCAAGCACACACACAAATGCCCGTAGCGAAACACAAAGACGAATGCAAAAAGCGAAAGTGGCCTTGTGCGCATGCGCGCTATCGACCGGCTTGAAAGAAAACCTGATCTGAATATGATGCGACGAAATATTCATCAACCTAATGAAACGTCGTCAGTCTACTGCAATAATTTTTTTCGGCATTATAATTATTTAGACGTTTGGTCGTAAAATCTCCGCCTCGTACACGAAGGCGGTCACCTAGACGAGTAGGTTTGGTGACATCTTTTACGGCGTCCTCTAACAACTCGTCCAGCTGATTCCCGTGCCAAAATGGTAATCGTTTTAAATAAGTGTGTCCTCCGCTTTAAACTCCTGAATCTTAACCTAAATTATGGACCCTGCAAAAACGAAGACGCTGAAGCGAGAAAAAGCGTCGGTCAGATCGGAAGTCGGCTGTTGCGTGAAAGACGAGCCACCTGAAGTGGAAGCCGCGGACTGTGCTATTGACGTTAGTGGTCGCTTGTCGAACGGGATTGATTTTAAAGAAAATGTGCCAGGAACTGAGAACATGGGCATGTTTTCTGGACCGCTGGAAGCCGACACGACGAAGCCGGTCAGGAACAACTGGATGAAGACCCACATCGAGCAATCAATCAGGTGATGGCAGCTTCTCGCGAACCTTTCGCGATGCTTTGAGGTTCGATACCGTAAACAATGACATCTTATTTCTCGCAGCTTGGCATCGTAAGTCGTGGGTGAATACGGATGCCTTTGCATTCGCCGATGACGGAGGAGTCATTAACGCTCGCCGTTCTTCTGGCGTCGTGAGCGAACTCGAAGCTATTGTGCGTCCAGCGCGAGCGTGCTTGCATGGCTTCGCCCGCGCTGCGATGCGAACGCGGCTGTCGCGAATTGCCTGCTACGCTAGGAACGCGACGGTCCGAAATTGGAATCGTCGTGCGTTAATTTGTGGCAGCTGCTGTCGTTGACACATCAGCTAGCCGAGTCCTCGTCGATGCTTTGTTTGCGAACCACAGAGAAAAGGGGAACAAAAAAAAAATAAAATAAAAACGGAGTTTGATTCTAAGGGTGTTTCGGAAACTGCGGCGTGAACCTGCGCGAGATCTATCGTGTTAGCCTTTTTTTTTTATCTGCATCAAGTCAATCGAGACGGAGTCGAGTGTTATGAATTCGCCAGGGGTCAACTTCTGCGCGGCGTCGTGCGCTAGAAACGCGCCGCCAACTATACGTGGTTAATTACGGCATCCCCAGCCTTCTTGTTCGCGCGGCTGTGTAAAGTAACGCCCGCTGTCGGATGGCCGTCCGCTGGCTCACGTTTGCTGGGAAAATGTTTGTGTAGATGCCGCGGGGATAGAAATGTAGCCTTCTATTGTCTTTCCCTTCTTTTTTTCTTTCTGTTTTTCTCGCTTGCGTACACTGGATCACAGTAGTCAGCCGCTGCCAACGCGTTTGAGATTTTATTGAGGGCCCCGGTATATGACATTTAAAATAAATGATCAAAAGATCTTGCTGCTATATCATGACAAAAGATCACGTGCCGTTCTTCCTCTTTTTCAGTTTGGTATACCGTAAGTAGAGTGACTGAATTGTGACCTATGAGCAGCTAAATTTGTGTTGAATGAATGGCATATGCGTAATCATTGTAGTGCACTCTTTCGCTTAATCAGCTATCCTCTTGATTCTTTTGCAGTGAGGAAGCAAGGAAAAGGATAGCGACTCTCCTCGTAAGTTGAAGCGCATCTCTCTGCATTTTGTCTGTCCTTGCATTTCAAATACAGCTTGTACGCTTGTATGAATACCAAAGCCAAATAGTTGACATTCATTGATTCGATTCTGGTGAACTATGTTCAAGTTAAATCAAAAAGACGTGTTTGTGGACTACTGAAGCTTTTTTATGCCTTCAAATGCAGTCATTAGACCTTCATTTAATGTGTAGAAGTTTCTCCAAAGGAAATTTCTTTCATTCTCACTAAAATGTTGTAGCTACAGTTGAGTGAGCTTTCAATTGTACTTGTGCTTTTGGCATTCCTGCAATGTGCGCTGTACTGGTACCTTGAGGTTAGCAGCTGTGAAGGGGGAAATTTGCAGTATTTTAAGAGTTATATTTACTCAAACGTGCAATCCAATTCAAGGAAAAGTCATTTTATCCTTGTTCTTCAAGTGCCGTGAGGATGACATTAAGTGCGGAGCGCTTTGGGAGCTCACAAGGTCGCTTGACATAACACAGGAGAAACCGTGTATAAAAATGGAAAGAAAGGGGGGGGGAATAGATACAAAAAGAAAGAAGGAAAGGGGGATATCAAGAAAAAATATAAAAATCAGTTCTTGAGTACGCCTTGGTAGTATGGAGCCCTCATCACTATTATTTTTAAAAAAGCACTAAAATTTCAGAGGTGCGCACGGTTTATATGCTCCCGGTATCGAAGGACAGAGTCTATTACAGAAATGCTTCATTTTTCTGGCCTGCATTAGTCAGAAATGTGCAGGCAGAAAAATTGTCGGAAGCTACTATTTCAACTACTGAAGGGTCAACTAAATATTAGCGAAGCAGTGTACTTGCTACCGCCAGGTAAACAGAGCTCAAGAAGCAAACCACGACAGGCCAATTGAAGCGCACGGGACTCGTACCGATAGGTTCAGATACGCCTTCTTTTCTAGCACGATTGAAATGTGGGGTGAATTGCGGGTGCGTGCGGTTGAACGAAATGAATTGTGAAAATTTGAACAGACCTTGGGGGACTGTTTGTACAAGTGTGCTGCATGACCTTGATCTAACTTGCACTTGTGAGTTGACAGTATTGTAAAATAAATAAATACAAAATTTTTAAAGAAAAAAAGGAAAGAAAGAAGAAACAGAAAAGACTACCCAGGTCCTCTGCACTTCCTTCACACTTGTTGGCCCCACTAGGGCGAAGCTGCCATGATTTTTTTATTGGCAGTCGCAAGGCTAAAGATGCTACCAAGTATTGCGTCGAATGATTCAGATCAAAAGGTGCAGTCTTGCCGAAAACTTACAAGCTAAAACACACAGCAGTGAGCACGCCTCCTTTTTCAACAGTTTTAAGAGAAAAAATGCTTGTTTGTATGTAAGGCTATTTCGTAACAAACCTTTCATTTTAGTGTCTATTTGGTTAACTATTCCCCTAACTGTACTTTCCCGGCATACATATGCCTTGCAGTTTTAACTTTGATCATTTAAGAAGTCGGCATTTGCCTGTCAACATAAGTGTTGACTCTGAATCAAAGCTTTCTGGAGCCCTCCACTATGGTGTCTCTCTCATAATCACATGGCAGTTTTGGGATGTTAAACCCCACATATCAATCAATCTGAACCAAAACTCATCTTCTTTTTTGAATTCGGAAAGACTTGTTTTCACATTTTTTCCCCCTCTGTGCATAGTAAGGTATCATAAAAATAATGTCCTCTTAGAAAACGGGACTTTTAACAAATTTATACTCAAGTGCCTATGCTTCAACACAAAGATATCAGCTGCGAATGTCTGCAATAAATTGGCTTATTTATTAGTTATGAATATTGCACTCTTGTCATCATTGTGTAGTGCATATTACTTTGGTTATTAGTTTTATGTTCCCTTCAGCACGTTACATGACAAATGGGGAATTTACAGCCGTTATGGTATATTTTATTTTTTTTAATGAAACATTTTTTATTACTGCCAGGTATGTCTGAAAACATTACGTTTGTCACCAATATTGTCTTGTTGACTAACACACCCCTTCCTATAAATCCTGACTCACAAAAAATGCGGTTTTGCCTCATATCTTCTATTTCTGATAACCGAGAAAGAAATGTTGCTAAAAGGGACCAGAGATCAAGTACTGTGCGATAGCTAGCTGATAAAAAAATTGCAGCAATCCTCGAGTTATGTGTTTTGACATGTCTACCTGTTTGTACGTATAATCTTGTGTGTGCTGCCAGATGTTTGCGAATGGCTGTTGGTGGAACAACACAAATAAAATTTTTTTTAAAAAAACAGTGCTATGTTGTTAGAAGCTAGGTTAAACAAATTCACTTCTGGATTTCTACACGCATGCTTTCATGTAACGTGAGACATTGATTGAATGGTCATGTTTACAAAGTACGCGATTGTGTTTGCATTACGTTTCCGTTGAAAATATCGCTACAACTAAGGTTCAACCATGCGACTTAAAACCGAGGAAATTCAGTGTAATAATTTGTTGTGGCGTGTAATGCACTACTTATCATTTGGTGCCTGCGATGAGTTTATTTATGTGGCCGCATGTATATATATATTGTAAAGATGAGAGCGCCATTGGGGCGCGGGCATGCGCTTGAGAGGCTTCACTCTCGAGCAGAGGAAGACGAAGGCAGATAATAGAACAACCGGGCAACGATCAGGCGTTGTGTCTATATGTCGCATTACAATATATATATATATATATATATATATATATATATATGAAGTGCTCACCATTTTCAACTCGGGGGCCAGCAACCTGCCGCTGTCACTAAAGCAAAAGAATGTACAACTGTTGCATTTCACCATTTCTAGTGTGAGGCAGAAGCTATGAGATTAACAAAGAAACTTGACCACTAGTTGATGACAAGGCAACGTAATACCAGTGTCGCATGGGCACTTATTCCGATCATGAAGTGGACCGAACCAGATCGCATGTGTTAGTCTCAATAACAAGTTTGTCTGTGCAACACAGTACAGCCTAATCAAAATCGAGTTTGGCACAGACTTTAGCTAAATCGTGATAACAGAGCCGAATTGCGATCATGGAGCCATATCGCAATTGTCTTGATCTCTGTCAGTCCTGATTGCGATTACTTAACACAGTGTAGCAACACCTGCTTCAGATTGAGCCTGATCCAGATTGCCCCAGATGGCGATCAAAAGTTTCCGTGTGATGCCTGTATGAGGTTGAATGAGAAATGACTGGTTTAAGATTAGGGGATTGTAGGACAACAGAGTCGACTACAGTCTAGAGAAAAAAGAGGGATAGTCAATAATTTGGCTGATATTATTGAGAGCGAAAAAATGAACAGAGACTGGCACATCACGAGAGGGACAGACAATGGATGGTGAGTTGGAGTAATGGAATGGATCACAAAAGGGAAAGCGCAGGCAACGATAGTAGAGGGTTGAGCGAAATCATGAAACTGAGAAATTCGCTGGTATAAAATGAAATTAGCTCATGCAGGGAAAGCTGGGCTGGAGATAATGGGGAGTCCTGCAGTGGACACAAGATGATGATGATGATACCAATAGATGGGATAATCCCAGAACTGTGTTGAGACAGAAATGGTACCGTCTGATTGATTAGTGTAAACTACACTGAAGTGACATGTGCTGATCAACATAAATGCCTGAAAAAGATGCAGACATCACTTGTCATCTACATCCCTACTTTGTATTCTTGATTGGTAGTAGTGTTTTAATTCACATTCAAGCCATCCAGCCCCAAACTTGGCTCTCCTAGGAGAAACCAATACATTGGAAACATTGGACAGTGAGCAAGTGTTTGAAACAGAAGAGATGTTTCAGTAAGTTGTAATAAAGGCAGAAAGACCAAATTTTTACTGGAAACTAGGTAAAACACTTTGTTAAAACAATATGCTATTTACATATCCAGGAATAAGAAAGTATGGAAAAATAGTTTTCAAAGTATTTCTTGCACTCCCTAATCTGTTAATAGATGAGAAGGCACAGTCATGCAGAAATGCCTAGCACATCTATTATCTTATCTTTTACATGTTGTTTACTTATAGTGTTCATTTATTTGTACTCATAAAGCTTTTTGTTATTTAAATGACAGGAAGAAGTTAAAGATTACAGCACATAACACGATACATGAAAGAGAAGCCTTCATTCAGAAGCTTCTTTTTTGTACCAGTTTGGGTTTGAATTTACTCTACAAGAATTGTTCATATATTTCCTATACTATATGTACATTTTCTTTTGGGAATATTACATCAATGGCAGATGGCCCTCAGCAGACATGTTGACTAAAACAACAAAATTATTCTCAAGATTGATTGTTATTTTCGTGTCAAAATTAGCCTCACAAGAGGGGATGACATTTAATTATAAGGCACAGAATCTGCTGTTGTTGTTATTACCTGAATGCACTGCTCACAACAATACCAGCTGTTTGAAGGTTGTATACATTAATTTACACTAACATTTATGTTGGCCCATGTTTTTTCGTGCGGCAAGGCACCTTATAAGCAACGACTCTGGAGAGGAAAAATTGGGCTGTAATGGTAACTTTTAATGTGATAGCGAGAAAGAGCCTGTTTCGCCTGAAATTTTTATCTCAACGTCAGCATCTACGTCATTGATTGTGAACGAAAAATCATCTTGTCTATGAACGAAAAAACCAAAGCCAGGCTAGCAGTTGAGAGGGCAATGCGTATCGGTCCCAATTATGCTACCCCGTTCTACTTTTATTTATTTATTTACTTTATTTACAGATACTGCAATCACCATTTGGTGATTTTAGCAGGGTGGTACATGAAGTTAGTCATGAACAAATGGCAACTACAATGACATATAATATATACAGGTTATACAATGTGTATAGGGCAAATACAAACTTCAACTGGCAATAACATACAATAAAAAATAGGAGACTACAATTATACAAGCATGTACAGTGGTATGTAATGCTATTTAACAATTCAACTGGTTAGTGCACTTTCTAATTCCGAGGAAAACACTGCCAATGAGGGTGC